CACATCAAACTAAAAACGTCTGCACAATGAAAGAAAATATGATTGAAACAAAAAGACGCCCTGCTGAATGGGAGGGGATGTTGGCACTCATGCCCAATAAGGAGCTCCGCCCCAGATCCTACCGACAAGCCCAGAGTCTGATACCAGGTTTTTGAAAAAAGGAAGATGCTTTATTGTTAATTGATTGGCAAAGAGAATAGAGATAAACTCCGATCTGCCTCCCCTGTTAAGAAAGGAAATGAGGTTATCTAGGTATTTGGGTTCCATCATTGAAACAAAGGAGTTGTGGGGCCTTCCTGGTGGCGCAGGGGGTTAAACATAGCACTGTGGAGCTGGCCTCAGCCACTGCAGCACGAGTTCCGTCCCGGCTGGCCAGGAAGCTATCCACATGGCACAGCAGACCTCTCCTGTCTCCCTGCTGCTCCCCTCAGCAGTGGATTTCAGTCAGTCTGCCTGTTCTGTTCCCCGCTCTGGCTCTGGTGAGTCCTCTCACTCCCCATCCCCACACCTCTGGCCTGTACCCCAGCTCTTGTACACATAAGATTTATGGGGTACAGGCCAGAGGTGTGGGGGTGGGGACTGAGAGGACTCACCAGAGCCAGAGCGGGGAACAGAACAGGCAGACTGATGAAACACACTGCTGAGGGGAGCAGCATGCGAGACAGGAGAGGTCTGTTGCGCCATGTGGGTTTCTTGCCAGCCGGCTGGGATTGAACCCACGCTGCAGAGGCTGTAGACAGCTTCATAGCACTGTGCTCAACCGCCTGCGCCACCAGGGGAGGCCCAATAAATAAATCTTAAAAAAAAAAAAAGAAAAAGAAAAAAAAGGAGCTGAATTTTATAGGCTGAAAAGTTAGTTGTAGCAAAGAAATGTGGAATTTTCTTTGGCTGCTTACAGGTTAGTCCATACATAGACAAGTAAGAAGAGCCTTTCCTTCACATCCCGGGAGTTTTAAATGTCTGTGGGGGTGGGGCCCTTAACTCTGGGGGGCCCCTCTGCTCTGCATTTGCAGGCTTCTGTCTCACACCAGTCTCCGAGCTCAGCTCAAGATGAATTGCTTCTGCTCTGCTCAGGCTGAGCCTTCTGTTAATAAGGTCCAGGCTTTGCTCTGTGAAGGCAAACCTCAAAGACAAAGTTAGATGAGGGTGTGTGTGTGTGTGTGTGTGTGTGTGTGTGTGTGTGTGTGTGTGTGTATGCACGCGCTCTAGGATCTGAAACCAATTTAGTCATTGAACCTTGGTTACAGACTCACACAACCCAACTACAAGGAAACAAATTACCCAATCCAAAAAAAAATGGGCAGAGAATCTAAATAGAGACTTTCACAAAGAAGATAGAGATGGCAACAGGCACATGAAAAAATGCTTCTTGTCACCAATCATCAAGGAAATGCAAATCAAACCACAATGAGACACCACCTGACAGCTGTGCTGTGACAGGGTCTCTAGCAAAAAGACCAGGACTAAAGAGTGTCGCGAGGTGGGAAGGAAAGGAGCCCCTGCATGCTGCCCCGGGAGCGTGGACCCGCCCGGCTGGTACACTACCACATAATCCAGTCATCCCACTCCATGTATCTGTAGGGAAAACGCAAAAACACTAACTTGGAGACAGGTCACTCTGTGTTGATTGTAGCTCTGCTCCCATCGCCCAAGTAGGGAGCCATGGCAGCACAGGAGAAAGAAGACTTGGTATGTTGCTTATCCACCGAGCAGCACCACTTATTTTGCTAGCAAGGAAAAAAAGATCAACTTTATTTTATTTTAAATTTCTTAAAGATTTATTTATTTATGTATACAAGAGCTGGGGTACAGGCCCGAGGTGCAGGAGGGTGGGAGGACTCACCAGAGACAGAGCGGGCAGATGGGCCGAAGACGCTGACGGGAGCAGCCGCGAGACAGGAGAGGTCTGCTGCGCCATGTGGGACTCTCCCTGGCTGGCCGGGAATTGAACCTGCGCTGCAGAGGCTGCGGACAGCTTCACAGCACGGTGCTCAACCTGCTGCACCCCCGGGGTGGCCCCTAAATAAATCTTTTAAAAAATTAAAAAAAGAAACATGAGAGGAGGAGACCAGCCTGCAAGGTAGGTGGGGCTGGATCTCCCGACGCCTCCCAAAGCGCCCTAAGGAATCCCACCAGATTCCGAGTGTCAGGAGGAGCGGAAAGATTTTATCTAAGGAAGTAAACGTTGCGGGTAAGTGGCCCTCGCGCACGACAGGTGTGCAAGCCGGGCAGGGCTGCAGGCTGCAGGACCGGTTGGCAGCTGAGGGCAATGCTCAGGATTCCTGAGGCGGTGACAGTGGGGGTGGAGAAAGTGGTTGACTAACAGACAGTAAGGAAGTGGAATAACAAGGCCAGATGACTAAGTGGATGAGGAAGGTGCAGGAGAGGGAAAGGCAAGGACAACAATTAGATTTCTTACTTCTGTGACTGGGTGGCACCTGTTATGGAGATTTGGAACATCACAGAGGCGGAGAGGAGAGGACGGGCAGACGTGACATTCCAGGTGTCTGTTGCACATGCAAGCGAAATGTGCAGAGGTAGTTGATCGGAAGGCCTGCTGTCCTCCCGGGAGGTGACCGGTGCTATAGGTAGCTGGGAGCCCAGTGCACAGAGGAGGTGGCTTAAGCCTGGAGAACAGGCCAGGTCACCGGCAGAGCCGCAGCGCGAGGTGCCAGTGCCAGTTCCACATTTAAGGAAAGGGTTAGAGAGTCCCTCAAGGAAACAGAACAAGCCAGAGAAGTGGGCAGATTGGAATAGGGGACCTAACGGGATCCCAAGCTCCTGTTTTATGGCTTTCAGCTGTGGAAGGGGGACGAAATCAGCATTCAGTGAGCTGAGGCAGAATGCAGCTTGGGTCATGGATGTGTGGGTCTGTTGAAATTCATCAAACCGGACACATGTTACTCAGGTATTTTACCTTATGTAAATTATATCTCGATAAAGCACTCAGCACAGAAACGATGTGCAATACGTGAACATCATCATGCGCCGGGGCAGGAAAGTCAAGGAGAGATTGAGGATGAGAAAGAATGTTTAAAGGGGAAAGGTTCTGAGGAGACAGAAGAGATAAGCTTTGGGCAGGTGGAAAGATGAGCCTTATTTTTCTTTTCTTTATTTTTTAAAAAGATTATTGATGCATACAAGAGCTGGTGTACAGGCCAGAGGTGTGCCAGGAAGGTGGGGTGGGGGGAGAGGATCCCCCAGAGACAGAGTGGGGAGCAGAACAGGCAGACTGACTGAAACACACTGCTGAGGGGAGCAGTGGGCTGCAGGAGAGGTCTGCGCGCCCTGTGGGTAGCTCCCTGGCCGGGAATCGAACTCGTGCTGCAGTGACTGGCAATAGCTTGATATCACTGAGACTGAACCCCTGCGCCACCAAGGAGGCTCCTACATTTTTTTGTGTGTGATTTAAAAGTGCCCAACATTCCAATTTACTTAACTTTCATTTAATCCATTTTTGTGAATTGAAAAAGAATGTGAAACATTTAAGTTTCAATTTCACACATTGGACGTATGGAAACAACACACCCGTCTAGACGAACTACGGTCTATCGGCTGAACGTTGGCTGAGACAAACGACACGGTCAACGCAGCACAAACTTTTAAAGCAAAATGACTATTGAGACGGTCACCTGACCTCCTCCAGCACGACCCGGCGAGGTGTGTGAGGAAGGCGAGGTGTGTGAGGCGAGGTGTGTGAGGAAGGCGAGGTGTGTGAGGCGAGGTGTGTGAGGAAGGCGAGGTGTGTGAGGCGAGGTGTGTGAGGAAGGCGAGGTGTGTGAGGCGGGCGAGGTGTGTGAGGAAGGCGAGGTGTGTGAGGCGAGGTGTGTGAGGCGAGGTGTGTGAGGAAGGCGAGGTGTGTGAGGCGAGGTGTGTGAGGAAGGCGAGGTGTGTGAGGCGAGGTGTGAGGAAGGTGTGAACAGTGAACAGGGCTTTCGCCCCCAGGACGTGCACGGCGAGGTGTGTGAGGAAGGCGAGGTGTGTGAGGCGAGGTGTGTGAGGCAGGCGAGGTGTGTGAGGCGAGGTGTGAGGAAGGTGTGAACAGGGCTTTCGCCCCCAGGACGTGCACGGCGGGTGACCGGCTCCTTTCACGAGTCTGTGTCCAGGGGCCCGTGTCACCGCAGCTCTCCCCGGCGCGCGACACGACCCCGCCGCGTGTCCCACCACGGGTCGCCTGTCCCGTCACCCGCGGACGGTCGGCGTGGCGCGCCCGGACGCCGAGAGCACGCGGCGGGAACGTGGAGCACGACGGCGTGTGGGGCGCTCCCGGCCGGCCCGTCCACCCCGGCGCCCCCGGCGCGGGGCCGCCGCCACCCCGGCTTCGCAGCCGCCCGCGCGCGCGCGCGCCCGTCTCCCGCAGCCCCGGCGGGCGCTCCGTGTGGAGCGTTCCCAGAGGCGCGCGCGGAGGTGAGCGAGCCCGGGCGGAGCCCTCGCGGGGTCTCCCGCCGCAGCGGGAAACCAGGCCCAGCAGCGGGCCCGGCCCGGCCCGCCCCGCCGCGGCCCAGCAGGCCCAGCAGGCGCCCGGAGGGCGGGCCGGCCGGGGCCGAGGCGAGGAGCACGCGGCCGGCCGCCCCCCGCGCGCGCAGCCTCCCGCGCCCCGCCCCGCCGCGCCCCGCCGGCCACTCAGGGGCCGCGCCCCGCCCCGCCCCGCCCCGCCGTGCCCCGCCGGCCACTCAGGGGCCGCGCCGGGCACGCACGCGGGGGCGCGGCTGCCTATTGGCCGGGCGCCCGAGGGCCCGCCCGCCGGCCACCCGGAAGCGCGGCGCCGCGGCCCTCCGGTCTCGGGCTCGGCGCGGGCCGCGGCGGGGCGGGCTCGGGTCGGCCTTCGTCCTCCGCGGGCCGGGGCCGGGGCCGGGGCCGGGGCCGGGGCCGGAGGCGCCCCGCGGCGACGCCAGGCCGGAGCGGGGGCGGGGCGGAGCTTCCGCCGCGGAGGGGCGGGGCCGCGCGGCCGCCCCGGAAGCGGAACCGCGGCCGTCGGGCCCGTCCGGTGCGAGCTCGGCCCGCGCGCCAGCCGTTCCGCCGCCGCCGCCCGTCCGCCGGCCGCGCCATGCTGTCCCTGGACTTCCTGGACGATGTGCGGCGGATGAACAAGCGGCAGGTGAGGGCGGCCGCCCGGCGGTGCGTGCGCCCCGACGCCGGCGACGCCCGCTCCCGGGGCCGCCGCTGGGGCCGGGCCGGGCCGGGCCGGGGGTGGGCGCGGCGGGGCGCGGGCCCGGCCCGGGGGCCGCTGCCGGGGGCGGGGGGCGGGGGGCGCCCGCGGGCGGCGCCGGGGCGGGCGCTGGGCGCGCCGCGGGTGCCGGGCGGAGGCGGCCGTCCCCGGGCCGACCCTCGAGCTCGCGCCCTCGTGCGCCCCGGCTCCCCGCGCGCGGCGCTGGGCGCGCGGCGGCGCCCGTCCCGCCCGCGTCCCGCCGAGCCCGCGGCGGCGTCCGCCAGCCCGGCCGTGGCTTCGGCCTCCCCCGCCCCGGGCGCTGCCCTCGGGTCGCGCGGCCTCCGCCGGGCCGGGAGCCGCCCCGGCGCTGCCGGCGCTGCCTCGGGGGACGCGGCGGGCGGCCGCCCCGCCCGGCCCCGGCGCCCGCCCTCGCCTCCCCGACGGCCTCGCGCCGGCTGCGGGTCGCGGTGCGCGGCGCGGTGGCGTCTCGGGATCGCGCCGCAGGTTCGCGCCCGCCTCGTGCCGTCTCCCACCCTCGGCTGTTTCCGGGCGCCACAGACGTTCCTCTGGAGAGAGACTTCCCGGGGCCTGCTGCCGCCTCCCGGGACACTCCGCGGCGCGGGGGCGCCCGGTGCCCGCGGTGGGGAGCGCCGATCCCCTGGGGCGGGGAGAAGTCGGGGCCCGGCGAGCCGCGGCGGAGCGCGGGGACTCAGAACCGGGCCCTGGAGCGGCACCGCTGGGATCCGAAGTCACTGTTGCTAGCTGGGACCTGGGGCAGAGTGTGCCACCGTTTTGCCAACCTTCATTATCTTCTTTGTTGGGCTAAAATGTAACAGATTTTGCGTTTTAAGTGACTGCTTCGTAAGTTGTGCCGCACAGAGCGGAGTCTTGTTAACGGTTGCTGCTGTGGTGCTGGAGTTAGAGGGACCCGGTCTGAGCCTAAGGAAAAGGTAAATCGCAGGGCGGGGCTTAGCGCTCAGGTCTCACTCCAGCGCCCGAGCCCCTGCTTGAAAAAGGCTGTGACAGTGCTGGTGGGCGTGCCACCTGGCCCAGCACCTGGAGAGCTGTGTGGAGATTCCTCAGCCCGCCGAAGGTGGAGCTGCCATAGGATCCAGCAATTCCACTCCTGGGTATTTGCCCAAAGGACACAGAAACATCCATTCCAAAGAGCACCTGCACCCCTCTGTGTACAGCAGCACTGTTTACAATAGCTAAGCTTTGGAAACAGCCCAAATGCCCAAAAATAGATGACTGGATCAAGAAGATGGGGTCCATATACACCATGGAATATTACTCAGCAGTCAAAAAGATAAACACACGCCATTTGCAGCAACATGGATGGCGCTGGAAGGGATCATGCTCAGCGAAATAAGCCGGAAAGAAAAAGAAAAATACCGGAGGGTCTCACTCATAGCAGGAATTTGGAAAACCTAAATGAGGGGCCAGGAAAAAGACTAATTATAATAAAGTAAAAATCAAAATCAACAAGCAACTGTAAACCAGAGGGGGGGGAGGGGTTAGGGTCAAAATAAAGGGGGGGTGGGAATTGTATGGGGGCTATAACCAAGATGAAAATGCATACATTGTGCAAAAATGAAAAATGATGTAAAAATATATAAAATTAAAAGAAAAAAGAGGGAAAAGAAAGGGGGGGCTGTGGCAGATTCTAGGCTTGGTAGGGAAGGTGTCAGGGAGTCCAGGCAGGGCACCAGGACACTTTCAAGGAGGAACTGGTGTTTCAGCTGGAACTTGGAAGACCTTTATAGCATCATCTTTGCGAGTTGAATTTAGAGTATTTATTTCCTTCGTGCTTCGTGTATTTGTACAAATTTTAAAAACACTACCAGCTTGCAGAATTCCTGAAAATTCAGCAGACTGTGTCCAGCATACCCCTGGGTGTAGGGGAGTTTTTCAGTACCCATTGATTATATACGGAATAGCGTGTTTGGAGTTTTTTCTTTTTATCCAAAGATTCACTTTTTTTTTTTTTTACTTTTTTTTTTTATATAGAGGCATGTTTTTATTTATTTATTTATTTGTTTGCTTGCTTGTTTTGTTTATACATGCACTGGGTACAGTCAGAAGCGCGGGAGGGTGAGAGAATTCACCAGAGCCAGAGCGGGGAGCAGAGCAGGCAGAAGGACCGAAGCACACTGATGAGGGGAGCAGCGGGCGGCAGGAGAGGTCTGTGCACCATGTGGGACCCTCCTCCGGTGGCCGGGGAGCAGCCGGGGATCGAACCGGTGCCGCCGAGGCCGCGGGCAGCTTCGCAACCCAGCGCTCAACCGCTGCGCCACCGGGGAGGCCCCAAAGATTCACTTTTTATTAATTTATGCATATGAAAACTGGGGTGCACTCTCCCCAGAGCGGGGAGGGTAGGGGGTATGAGAGGATTCATCAGAGACAGAATGAGGGCCAGAACAGGCAGATCCATTGAAATCCATTGCTGAGGGGAGCAGTGGTGAGACAAGAGGTCTGCTGCGCCATGTGGGTAGCTCCCTGGCCGGGGATTGAACTCATGCTGCAGTGGCTGTCGATAGCTTGATAGCGCTGAGACTTAACCCCTCGTGCCACTAGGGAGGCCCCTGTTTGGGGTTACCTCAGCTTTAAAAAATAATTCAGTGTGTAAAAGCTAGAAATTTAAAACTAATTCTTAAAAACTGAGAAATTTAGAAAATTAAATTTTAGACATTTAAAACTAGTTCAAAAATATCCTTTTTTAAGTGATTCAGTAAACACCCTTGCATAATAGTCTGGGCTGCTTATGTTCTCACACATTTCAACACTGTGTATAAATAGTAAAGTGATTAAAAGCATAAGCACAATAATAGATTGTACATTTAAAATTAGAATTATAAAACCTCACTGTTACTTCAGTGGGTTAAAAATATCTAAAATACTAAATACGCATATAGCCCTTAATATAAAATGATTAATGGTATATACGTAGTTTCTGTTTTTTTTTTTTTAATTTTTTTTAAAGATTTTATTTTATTTATACAAGAACTGGTGCACAGGCCAGATGCGCGGGAGGGTGAGAGGATTCACCAGAGACAGAGTGGGGAACAGAACAGACAGACTGACGAAATAAACTGCTGAGGGGAGCAGCGGGCGAGACAGGAGAGGTCTGCTGCGCCATGTGGGTAGCTCCCTGGCCGGGGATCAAACTCGTGCTGCAGAGGCTGTGGTCAGCTTCATAGTGCTGCATCTTAACCCTTTGTGCCACCAGGGAGGCTCTCTACTTTGTTTCCTTTTTAGCTTAATAGCTAGGTTGCTTTTAGGTTTATCATGTATTTTTAACTTGCCTTGGAGTCAGGTTGCACAACTTCATATATAGTATGGAAACTTGACACTGGTCTATTTCCACTTCCCCTCTTCTGCGCTGCTGCTGTCGCTGTCGTCCATTTTTACCTTTACACGTTACCACAATGCCCTGTTATAGTTGTTTTAAATAACCTTTTATGTTTAAAAAAATTTTTAATAGTAAAAAATATATTTTATATTTACCTATAGACACTGTTTCTGGTGTTGTTTTGCCCTTTGTGTAGATTCATATTTGGTGTTCTGTTTTTGCCTTGGGGGACTTTTTAAAACATTTTTTGTAGAGTAGGTCTGCTTGTGATGAATTACAGGTTTTGTGTTTGAAGTTTTAGTTTGCCTTCATTTTTGGGTTTTTTTTAAAAGATTTATTTATTCACACAAGCACTGGGTACAGTCAGAAGCGTGGGAGGGTGAGAGGATTCACCAGAGCCAGAGCGGGGAGCAGAGCAGGCAGAAGGACCGAAGGACACTGCTGAGGGGAGCAGCGGGCGGCAGGAGAGGTCTGTTGCGCCAGTGGGACTTTGGCCGGCGGCCGGGGATCGAACCGGCGCTGCAGAGGCTGCGGGCAGCTTTGCAGCCCAGCGCTCAACCGCTGCGCCACCAGCGGAGGCCCAAGTTTGCCTTCATTTTGAAAGAAATTTCCCCAGAATATGGAATGTTAGGTTGTTAGTTTTTCTTTTAGTATTTTCATGGTGTTCTAGTGTCTTCTGACTTGCGCTGTTTTCAGAGAAGTCTGCTGAAATATTTGCTCTTCTTTACATGACATAATGGCTGTTGTTTTTTTTTTTTTAAGATTTATTAATTTATGAATACAAGAACTGGGGTATAGGCTGGGGTGGGGGGCGAGAGTATTCACCAGAGACAGAGTGGGGAGCACAACAGGCAGATCTACTGAAACCCACTGCTGAGGGGCGCAGCGGGGAGACAGGAGAGGTCTGCTGCGCCCTGGGGGTCAGCTCCCTGGCCAGGGATGGAGCTCGGGCTGCAGCATCTGTGGACAGCTTCACAGTGCTGAGACTTAACCTCTCGGGAGGCCCCCATAATGGCTGTTTTTTATCTGACTGCTTTTGTAGTTTTCTCTGTATTGCTGGTTTTAAGTAGTAAATTTGACGATTATTTTGTGTCTTGTAATTTTCTTCCAAGTTTTTTCCGCTTGGTTTCTGCCATGCTTCTTGCATATTTAGGGGTATAGTTTTAATCGCATTTCCTGGGCAAATTTAGGCCATAATTTCTTCCTCTTGCTCCTGAAGACGCCAGTCTCTCGTGTCAGGCTGTGTGCTGCCCTCAGCTCCCTGCTCTTCAGTCCCTGCCGTTCAGGCTTCTGAATTGCTTTTTCTGTGAGATGGTTTTTATTGTTAGGAGTTCAAGTCCACTACGCTTTTCTTGGGTGATGTCTAATGTGTAATTCCATCCTGCTGACTTTTGTTTCAGACATTTTCCTTTTTATCTTCGGTGGTTTGGTGTAAGCCTTGTTTTTTTTTTTTTTTCTTTTTCTGTCATCCAAGTCTTAACACACTTTCAATTTCTTGAGTAATTTACTGTTTTGCTGAACTTGTCCACTCCCCCTGCCATTCCTGTCATCTCTGTTTGCTGGTTTTTCTCCTCCTTATGGGTGGCAGTGGTCTGCCTGTGTGTCTAGTAATTTTTTATTAGTTGCCAGACTTTATGACTTTTGCCTTTTGGGGTGGTCTGTTTTTTTACTTGACTATTCTTGTACTTTTTCCTGGGATGTAGTCAAGATACTCGGGAACAGTTCAATCCCTTCCAGGCTTGGCGAGGCAGCAGCCGTTGGTCTAAGGCCTAATTTGCCCCGTGCCCGAGCAGTGCTTTCTGGAGCGCTCCCTCCGGGGCCCGTGCGTTGTGAGGGTTTCCACGCTGGCTGCTGGAAACTACTCCTGCCTCTGTGAACTTTGAGGATTACTCCATCTCTCCTTCTAGATGGTTCTTTTCCATCCTGTGCTGACCTTGCAGTCATTGCTCAGCTGGAAGAGGAAGACCTCTCTCTGCAGACCTTGGGTCGCTCTTGTTGCCGTCCTGCCCTGCAGGCCGCCTTCCTTTGCCTCCTCAGACTCCCAGTCCTTTCTCCTCAAGTCACAGAAAGCTCCAGGCTCTGCATTTGCCCTTTACTTTGCTGAAGCTGGGCCAAGCAGTGGGCTCACCTGGTTTGTCCCTTTCTAAGTGCTCGCAGTCCTGCCGCCCTGGACACAGTCACGTGTCCAGTAGCTGAAACCCTGGCTCGTGTGTCCTGTCCGGTGTCCTCTTACCTCAGGGAGGAAGGCAGATTTGCTAAGTTCTGCTGCTCCACAGAATAGCTCCTCCCGGAGAGCTCGGCTTTGAGATCGTTGTGTGTGGGTAGTTCATCCTCACCTGCTGCTCGGGAGCGTTTGTTTATTCACCTGTTGATGGACATTTGGGTTTTTTCCAGCTGAGCTATCACCAACGCTGTGCGTGTTTGTACAGATCTGTTTCTGTCAGATTTAAGAGATATGCCAGACTTTGAAGAGGGAAACGTCTTCTGTTTTTGATGTTATGCCTGTGTAGACTCTTCAGGAATTGCTGTCATTTTAAGATCCTCCCTGGAACCTCCAGTGACTCCGCTGGGCCGCTACCGTGTCTGTTCTGCGAGTGCTTCGCTTCCCCAGGCTGGTTCCCTCCCGGAGCGGGGGTGTCTGCCTGCCAGGGCCCTGGTTTGGGTTCATGAGCCTGGACTGCTGCTTTGTTGGCTGCTTGGTTCATTGGTTCAAGGACAGGTTTGTCCGGGAAGGAGAAAGAAACAGGCGCCCGCACTGCCCAGACGGTGCCTGCCGGCTGCTCCAGACCTGGGCCTGGCTGGAGGGAGGGTGGGCGCGTGCTGGGCCTCGCCACTCACAGGAGGGGGCACGGGGTGTGTGGGCCTGCTACAGTGTTTAAAATTCCTGTCGGGGCTTCCCCAGCGGCACAGCGGTCGAGCGCTGGGTTGCGAAGCTGCCCGCGGCCTCTGCAGCGCCGGTTTGATCCCCGGCCACTGGCGAGGGTCCCACATGGCGCGCAGACCTCTCCTGCCGCCCGCTGCTCCCCTCAGCAGTGTCCTTCGGTCCTTCTGCCTGCTCTGCTCCCCGCTCTGGCTCTGGTGAATTCTCTCACCGCCCCGCGCTTCTCACTGTACCCAGTGCCTGTATAAATCAATAAATAAATCTTTAAAAAAATAAAATAAAATTCCTGTCAGCTCTTACTTGGCTGAATTTTCTGCCCTAGGTTTTTCTAAAATTTGTATCCTGGGTCATTTAAAGTGTGTAAATGATCCCCGGCTTGGGGTGGGGGTGGTGGTGCCATGTAGCAGTTCCTAAAAATAACAAAAATTACCCCACGGCGCACAGGCCCCGGGCATCTGCAGAGAGCAGGCACACGGGGCACCGGGGCCGCTTCTGACAACTTTCCCTACCGGCTTCCCTCCTGCGGGCAAGGCCTCAGGTCTTGGGCTTCCCTCACGGTCGCTGCGTCCCCTCACCGCTGTGGCCACCAGCGTGGAGCCGGGTGAGAGGAGGAAAAGCAGGAAAGGTGGACCAGCAGTTGGCTCGCTGCCCCAGAGGGGGCCATGGATGCATTTCCTTCATTTTCTTCCACTTTTTTCCACCCCTTTTTCTGAGCATCAGGCGGGCTTTGGGTTTTGCCTGGTGCCCCCAGCGCCGCCTCTCCTCCCTTGGCCTCCGCCTCTGAGCCGTCGGGCTCCTCCTGCCTGTCACCTGGCGCGGCCGCACAGCTGCTCTTGGTCCCTTTCTGGTGTAGGAGTTGCTTTCTCAAGTCACAGGGTCTGTGGAGCCAGAGCTGCTGTCTCCAGGCCCCGACGGCACGCCTGCAGCTGTAGGGGAGGAGAGGAGCCGGATATCCTTGGCCGGCCCTGGTTGTCAAGGAGACTGCATTGTGGGAGATGATCAGGAAAAAGAAATACTGTAGAAACGTAAGGGTCAGAAGTGCAGGTGCTGAGCCTGACGGTTTTGAGTGGATTCAAGTCCGTCGATTATAAAGTGCAGATGAACTCACTTGACGTGCGGGAGTCCCACGAATTACTCCCACGGAGCAGTCAGCCGAGTGGGGTGGCTGCTCAGGTGCGAGGAGGCCGCGGCGTGGCAGCGCCCTCTCAGAACATCAGCTGCCTTGGGTCCTCGCTAGCAGACCTGGGCTGCTGTCCCCCACGGTGGTGCTCCCCGGTGGGGACGCGTGCTCACCTGATCTCTTCTGTCCCTGCAGCTCTACTATCAAGTCCTCAATTTCGGGATGATTGTCTCCTCGGCACTGATGATCTGGAAGGGGCTCATGGTAATCACTGGAAGCGAGAGCCCGATCGTCGTGGTGCTCAGGTAACTCGGCCTTTCTTTCCAAGACTGAGGTCACAGGACGCGTGAGCTCCTGTGTCACTGTTTCACTCCTTTGAAACCGCTTTCTCAGAACAGGGCCTGGAAGAGCATAGTTCCTAGGTCTGCTGCTAAATGCTTGACCTTGTCAGGCACTCCCCACTCGCACCCCAGGGCCCGTGACCCCTCCGGGAGCTGGCCGTGGAGCTTCCTAGTGGGCACATTCCCCTGGACTTTGTTTTCCTGACCTTCCCTGTCTTCCTGCGCTTCACTGTGATAACATCCGGCCTGATATTGAGTTGTTAGTTTGCTAGATCCGAGCTCATGTCTACGGACTAAGAGTTTTTCTGCGCCGTGTTCTCAGCGTCAGTACAGAAACATCACTAATTATTTCCATGTTTCCTGCTGACCTTTAAATATCACTTCTAGACTTCAGAACGTCAGATGTTGTCATCTTTTAACTTAAAGTGACAAATAGTACTGTTTTTTTCCCTGCTACACTTTCTTCCCTGACCTTGTGCTCGTATTCTTAGTGATTTGAAAACCTAATGACTATTTTTGGAGAATAATCTCTTGATTATTGGCATCATTACAGGTCTGTCTGAGGTTGAGCTCTATTATGGAGACTGCCACAGTCCCTTCTGGGCATAATGGAATAGAATAAGAGAAACTGAGTCATTCACATTACGCGTAGTCTCGGTAACAGTGCATTGCTCTTAAAAGCTGAACTTAGGTCTTTGTGGTGCAAGAACGCCTGCTCTGGGCCGCCCGTGTCTTACTCGCCCCCTGTTCATGCTCTTACTCATACTTAGTTCTGTCTTTACTAGTAATGAAATGCAGCTGTCATTTAGAGATGAAGTGAAATGTGTGGATGCTGCTAGTGGGGAAAGCCCTTAGTGGACTCCCCTGTCTGACTACAACCCCGGCGAGTCTCTTATTGATGAAACTGTGGTTTCCTCATCTCTCAAATGAAGGTTGGCCTTAGGGGATGGCCGAGGCCTTTCCAGCTCTAAAATCATGTGGCCCTGAGTTCCTAGACGGGCTTGAATTCACTGGAGAGTTCAATGTGTGCAGTGTCCAAACGCTGAAAGGAGAAGCCACGCTAATTGGTAGTGTGGGACGGGGTAGACTGAGAGCCAGAGAGGCATTTTGTGGTGACTCTTATGGGGTTGCTTCAGATTTAGTTCTCTTCAGTACACGGAGCCAGTGTGGAAGTAAGCAGGGGATTTGACCAGAGACCTGGAGAACACGCGGGCAGTCCTGGCCACAGGCCACCCTTGCTGCCGCTGGGGTACTTGTACTGTCAATTCCACTTCATAACTGATGGTTAGATAGCTTATTTGGTAGCTAGGTGTTTATGTTCTGAGCTTTTCTGGTTGCCAGTACCAAAGAAAACAGGTCATATCAGAAGAGAATCTTGGTCAAGACTAGAAGGAGGAGGGCCTCCCTGGTGGCGCAGGGGTTGAGTCTCAGCACTATGAAGCTTTCACCAGCTACTGCAGCGTGACTTTGATCCCCGGCCAGGGAGCTACCCACATGGCGCAGCAGACCTCTCCTGTCTCCCCGCTGCTCCCCTCAGCAGTGGGTTTCAGTGGATCCGCCCGTTCTGTTCCCCGCTCTGCCTTTGGTGAATTCTCTCACCCCCCCACACCTCTGGCCTGCACCCCAGATCTTGTATGCAAAAATAAAAATAAATCTTTAAAAAAACTAAATAAAGAAATTGATAACATAAGCATTATCTCAGTAGCTGACCGTTCTTTGACTTGGAGAGCTGTTTTTCCTCCTTCATGGATTGAAAGCATAAAGTCATCTCACTGTATATTTATAAATGGCAGGAGAGAGTCCAGTGCTCATCTGAATATTTGAATATGTTTAGCGTTTGCAGATGAAGTGAGAATAAGGCAGTTATAAAGTTCATGCTTTTATATTGTTTGTCACTTGAAATTTTCAAAGGTTAAGGGATTAATAACATCGCCCTTTTCAAGATTTAAGCTCTTTTGAATAGTAATGCTCAAAATAGAACCAGTTAGTGAAGGCTAATAACTGAAGAGACCTTTTATATAATTCATTAGTATTTAAGAACTGTACACATTTATGTTGATGTATTTGTCAAGGTAGTAGATATACTCCGAATGCGATACTTTGTTTTGTTAAGTATCTAATTTTGAAAGTAAATTTAATCTCAGATTTTCTTTTGCTATTATTTTCTTCTGCTTTTCCCAGTGGCAGCATGGAGCCTGCGTTTCACAGAGGAGATCTTCTCTTCCTAACAAATCGAGTCGAAGATCCCATACGAGTGGGAGAAATTGTTGTTTTTAGGATAGAAGGAAGGGAGATTCCTATAGTTCACCGAGTCCTGAAGATTCATGAAAAGTATGTGCAAACTGTTATCTTCTCTCTTTTAATATTTGCGGCATTTCATTTTGAGGTGAGGAACTCCTCAGTTCTTCTTCTGAGCCATCTTTATGAATGTCTGAAGGTTGGGACTGCGTGGGAAGCTAACTTGTTTATTAATTCACTTCTTTCCTTGAAGGTTTTTCAAGGTTTCCTTCCACTCCTGAACTAGATCAGTGGTCTTGTGTACAGCTCCCCAAAAACATGACATAAAGGTTGATCCTAAGTGGAATCATCTGACATTATGAAATGAAGTAGCCCTAGTCTTAAAAAGACTCCTTTAAGGCAATCTAAAAAATATTTCAAGTAAGAGTAAATATGTCAGCTTTTTCAAATTTAAGGGAGAATTCCTGAGACTTAACTTTACTGTTTCAAATATAAATTTGCATTTTTAGAATTGAAAAAGACACTGTACAACTTTGAGAATTCCCCAGAGTGGAGGTGGGATGCCACCCTGAGCAAGACCTGCACCTCTGGGCCTCATTTTCTCTCACCGATGTAAAAAGGTTTATGAAGATGCGTTGCAAGATCACAGGTGCTAGCGCTGTCCAACTACCGTTTCTCTCCTGCCCCCTCCAGACCTGTAGTGTCTCCAGTTAAGGAAAACTTTCAGGTGGAAGGGAAGAAAGAAATGAAAGGAAAGGGAGGTGTCCTAGACAACCCTGGGGGAGAGTGAAGCTGTGGGGCGATCAGGCTCTTGTGCGGCGAGTCGTTTGTTTTCTTCACTTCCAGGGACGGGCAACAGTCACCTGTTGCTTTTTGGAGATCCCTGTGGAATTCTAGTTTCTAAACAAGTTCTTCATTGATCAAATAAAGATCTTACTGCTTTTTTTATTTTTCTGACTTCAGTATATACTTTCAAAGATTATAATTTTTAACTTGAATTTGTTATTGTTGACTGGACAGTAATAACTTGGACTTCATTAGATGTTTATTCTGGGTTACTCAGCGAGGGGGGTTTCCAGGTTCTCAGGGGGGTTTGCGTTGTCTGCACTGCCTGTGTCAGGGAGGGCAGAGCCAGCTCCCCTTCATGGGGAAGGTCAGGTTAGCCCAGGCGCAGCTTTGGGGAGAGCTCGTGGTCTCCATTTTTACGTGTGGTCTTTGAGACTGATGTTCCAGAGACTGTCATGTTAAAGCAGCTCACCTTGTTTTAGGGCAGGTTCATCGACAGATGTATCGATCACAGACTCCTTACATTTTAAAATTAATGAAACAGAATGCTGAATGTTTTAAGTTATGTACTTATAATCTGGGGTTTGGTTGATTTTCTTACTGAGGTGTGGTTGACGTGTAACTGAATTTCGGGTATATAACACGATAGTTGTCAATTGTGTTGCACTCACAATATTGTGAAATTAGTCATCCCAGTAAGACTGGTTAATATCTGTGGTGACTTATTTTAGACTCTTGAGATGCCTTCAACTTGCAGGCTTGTTTGGGTAACAGATCCTGCTAATATTCACACGTTTCCTATTTCCTTTTTCTTCCTCATCATTTGGTACATTAACATTGTTCTTAGATGTTGAACCAAGTGACAAAGTGGATCACTTGGTTTCCTCTGAACCTGTTTTAAGAAGTGAATTGCTGGCCTGAGTTGGATCCCCAGCCAGGGAGCTACCCACAGGGCGCAGCAGACCTCTCGTCTCCCTCCCCGCTGCTCCCCTCAGCAGTGCATTTCAGTAGATCTGCCTTTTCTTCTCCCCACTCTGTCGCTCGGGAATCCTCTCACCCCCTGCACCTCTGACCTACTTCCCAGTTCTTGTATGATAAATAAATTAAGGAAAAAATAAATCTTAAAAAAAAATTAAGAATTCCTGAGCTTTGGGAAGAACAGAGGTACGATGTGGCCACTGGCCTCTTGTCTCCTTCCTCTTTGTCTCGAGACTCTGTCCTATGAGCCTTCCTATTACATGCTTAGTCTTAATTGATACGTGTAAATTGGAAAGTTACAGAAAATAAAATGATATGTGATCCTAAAGATGACCAAGAGATGCTATTGAATTTCAGGTAATTATCTTTTGTTTAATAAACAAATACCCTCTCGCCACCCCCACCTCCACTGGGATCTACTCAGACTATTTGTAACAAGGTTGTCTCATGAACACACAGGAGAAACCCCCTCCGTCACCGCTTGTGCAAAGAAGCCTTGACCTGAGAGGTCAGCTCGCCCAGTACTGCCCTGAGGCACCCCCCGAGGTGCTTGCGGCCCCACCCTGAGTCTGCCCTTCCTGCCCAGGGCAGCTGTCTGTCTCCTGTCCCGCCTGCTCTCCAGAGGCGTCGCTGCCGACTGTGCCTAACTACTCTTCCTGACCAGCTGACCAGCCCGCCGGAAGGCGCATGGAGTCCAGGCCTTCCCTCCGACACAGAAACTTGAAGGCGGGCCTCCCCGGTGGCGCAGCGATTGAGCGCTGGGTTGCGAAGCTGCCCGCGGCCTCTGCGGCGCCGGTTCGATTCCCGGCTGCTCCCCGGCCACCGGAGGAGGGTCCCACATGGCGCGCAGACCCCGCCTGCCGCCCGCTGCTCCCCTCAGCAGTGTCCTTCGGTCCTTCTGCCTGCTCTGCTCCCCGCTCTGGCTCTGGTGAATTCTCTCACCCTCCTGCACTTCTGACTGTACCCAGTGCTTGTATAAACAAAACAAACCAGCAAACAAATAAATAAAGCATGCCTCTATTAAAAAAAGAAACTTGAAGGCACCACCCTCGAGCGCAGTAGAGAAGGAGCAGTCGTTGGCCTTTTTTTTTTTTTTTTTTAAGGATTTATTTATTTATGATACAGTAACTGGGGGTACAGGCCAGACGTGTGGGGGGTGAGAGGATTCACCAGAGAGTGGGGAGCAGAACAGGCAGATCTTCTGAAATCCACTGCTGAGGGGAGCAGCGGGGAGACAGGAGAGGGCTGCTGCGCCGTGTGGGTAGCTCCCTGGCCGGGGATTGAACTCAGACCACAGTGGTAATAGCGCTGAGACTCAACCCCTAGGCCACCAGGAGGCCTTAGTTACTCGTATTGTTTAATAGTCAGGAAAGTATTTTTACTTGTCATCCCTGCGGGAAGGCTGAGGTGCAGCCGGCGAGGGTGCTTGTGCCCCGCAGATGGTGAGAAATCTCATTTTTGAATCCTTTTGTCCCCTTATCTTTTCTCCTGTTTTCCACTGTCTTCCAAAATAAATGAGTTAGAAAAGAGCTAGGAAATGGCAAAGCCTGGTTTTTGCTTTAAAAGGTGGGGTGGCTTTGTCCCCATTTGGCTTGACTCTGTGGAGTGGCTCCCGGGGTTCACTCGCCAGCCTGCCTTCTGAACACCACGCCTCCCTCAGACACGGTTGCTCCCCCTGTGGCCCGTCTGACCCAGGCTTAGGCGTCGGGGCTGTCGGGTGTTCCAGCTCCGTGCGTTGAGCGCCGGCGTGAGGCCAGGTATTTAGAAGGGGGAATCTTAGGCCTTACCCTTCCTTTTTCTCTGCAGGTAAATACATGCTTTGTGCCCATTTGGCTTATTGGTCTTGTCCCTTTCTTTAAAATGATGGTCTCCTCCCTCCGAGCATCCCAGTGTCGGGACAGTCGAATGACATGGTCGTGCTTGGCTCTCCTCCGGGGTGGGTACTTGCGCTCTGGTGCCTGGGCGCGCCTCAGCCATCGTCCTGGCCTTTGAGTCGCGAGGTGTGAGCAGCGTGTGATGGGCTGGCTCTCGGCAGTCTCCTGGCACGGAGAAGTGGGCTCTCCTGATGGCGTCCCAGAGCAGGGAAGCCGGGTTTGTCTTGTGGCCAACCGGGCCCTTAGGAACAGCACAGGCCCTCGGCAGCACGCTTTCGTTTCCCGGAGACCCTCCCGCTGCCAGTGTCTTCCCTGCCTCTGTGGGTGGCCTGTCGCCAGGCCTGGCCGCCTCCTGCCTCTCGCTGACCCTTCGCCCTCGCCTCTCCCGCCAGGGTTTCCAGACATTCTTTCGCCCCCTGAGTTGTCAGTGAGACGGTTTCTCTCTGTACATTCGCATTTGCTGACGGGGATCTCACCTTTACGGGACTGCTGGCACTGCACCTCCCGCTCAGTTTCATCGGCAAAGCGAGTGTCGAGTCAGTCCACTCCTGACTGGGAACGGCGTTGGACAGCGGAAGGCAATTTTCTCCCTAGCCCAGTGATTGACCAAGTCCCCTCAGTGGCTGTTAAGATGCGCCGTCAACTCTTAAATGTAGGGTGTTTGTTTTTTTTTTAATTTTGAGTTACTGGAAACATAATGCTTCTTTGGTGGACTCAAACAAGTTTTCTGATCAAGTAAGAAGATGCTGTTCCTATGAACCCTGGCAAGTCACAGAATGTCATATGTATGTATCAGGAAATATCTGTGAGGCATAATCAGTGGGCTTTGAAAAACCGGCTGTAGCTGGAACGCTTATACCTGAATAAGCAGTAACTTTTTTTTTTTTAAAGATTTATTTTATTTATACAAGAGCTGGGGTACAGGCCAGAAGCGCGGGATGGTGAGAGAATTCACCAGAGAAAGAGCGGGGAGCAGAACAGGCAGACGGACCAAAATACACTGCTGAGGGGAGCAGCGGGCAAGACAGGAGAGGTCTGCCCCGCCATGTGGTTATCTCCCTGGCTGGCCGGGAATCGAACCTGTGCTGCAGAGGCTGCGGACAGCTTCACAGTGCTGTGCTCAACCCACTGCGCCAACTGGGGAGATCCCAAACAGTAACTTCTTAGTGTCGTTTCTAGTCTTTGTTCAGAATCTGACTTCTCATGACTCTTATCTGTTTGTTTGAATCCAGATTCTAATCAGCTCCTCATTTGCAGTTGGTTTGTGGGGCTTTTTAGTCTCTTTCATTTAACCTGTTCCTTCTTGAACCCTCTTTATTCCTTACGACTTATTGATTGAAGATAAGGGGTCATTCTTTTTTTTAAGATTTATTTATTTATTGATTGATTGATTTATACATACATGCATACAAGCACTGGGTACAGTCAGAAGCGCGGGAGGGTGAGAGGATTCACCAGAGCCAGAGCGGGGAGCAGAGCAGGCAGAAGGACCGAAGGACACTGCTGAGGGGAGCAGCGGGCGGCAGGTCTGTGCGCCATGTGGGACCCTCGCCCGGCGGCCGGGATCGAACCAGTGCTGCAGAGGCTGCAGGCAGCTTTGCAACCCAGCGCTCAACCGCTGTGCCACCGGGGAGGCCCGATAAGGGGTCATTCCATAGTGTTTCAATAGTCTGTTTCACCAGTTATGCCCTGTAGGGTGTTTGTATGTTCCTATACATTTTAATAATACAACAGTGAGATTATACTTCACATAGTGTTTTGTGATCTTCACTTAATGAAATCCATATGATCTTCCCATGGCATTAAATCTTTGACACTTCATGCTTGCATAGTATTTCAACTCCTGGTTGCTGGACTTTAGCATGTTTTCTTTTTTTTTTTTAAGATTTATTTATGTATACATGCAAGAGCTGGGGTACAGGCCAGAGGCATGGGAGGGTGAGAGGACTCACCAGAGACAGAGTGGGGAGCAGAACAGGCAGACTGACAGAAATCCACTGCTGAGGGGAGCAGCGGGCGAGGCAGGAGAGGTCTGCTGCGCCATGTGGGTAGCTCCCTGGCGGGCCGGGGATCTAACTCGTGCTGCAGTGGCTGCGGCAAGCGTCATAGGTTGCGTTTTAACCCTTGGCGCCACCAGCGAGGCCCAACTTTTAGCATGTTTTCATCTTTTCCTATTGTTAAGCCGTGATCATCTTAAGTGAAGAATTATTTTGATATTAGGAATGATGAGAAGATGCCGCAGCGCTATTGCACTTTTCATTAACAAGATTAAATTTTGTGCTTTCAAACCACATGAAGGTGCTTGATGACTTGCGTTTCTCTTATTCTTTTAAGGCAAAATGGACATATCAAGTTTTTGACCAAAGGAGATAATAACGCAGTGGATGACCGAGGCCTCTATAAACAGGGACAGCATTGGCTAGAGAAAAAAGATGTCGTGGGGAGAGCGAGGGGGTAAGTATGGAGGCGCGCGCTTTCTCAGCTCTTCCTGTTGCTTGAGGTGCGGCCCCACAGCCGCGTCGTCTGAGCAGACACACGAGGGGCTGTGCCGGCTCCGCCCGGGCGGTCACAGTGTCCTTTGGAAAACGGTGCTGCTTACATGCCCTGGAGACCGCAGGCGAGCTGGCCGGGAGGAGGGGGGGCTGCGGGGACGGCGGAATGTGACGCGGTGGTGGGTGGCAGTGGTGGTTTTTTAACTTCGTTGGGTTATTTGAGTCAATTCATAAACGTCTACCCTGCTGGGTTCTGGGCCCAGAACACTTAATCCTGCTTCGTGAAATTTACGTTTGTTAAGAATTTACCAAGTCCTCCACTTAAAAGTGTTTCTATAAATTAACTTTATATTTATTCCATATTCTTTTATTTCAAGTCTTGAAATAACTGCAGTCAAATGAAATCTTAAAGTCCTGTTAAGCCTGATGATTTCCGATGGCATCAGGCGTGCAGATCGTGGCAGAAGGAGCTGTCTGTTCGGCTGCTCACGGCTGCCTCAGTGCTGGCAGAGTCTTAGCGGAACAGGGACCTGCTCTGTGCCAGAGACCACTCCAAGTGCTTCGCAGGTGCAGGCTCACTTCTAGCCCTACAGTGACCCTAGCATTGCCATTCTGCCATGAGGAAGCAGGCCAGGTTGCTTATCTGGGGTCATGCTGATGGCACATGGCCAGGTGAGCCCAGAGCCTCCGTTTTCACCATCATGCCTACATTACTGGCATAACTTCTGATGGCAGCTTACCCCCATCGGAGCACCTGCTCCTTGCCCTAGAACAGGCGCTGTGCGCACAGCCACCCCACCAAGGAGCCGTGTTCTGTGGAGGAGCCAGTGTGTCTCAAGGCAGAGCTTCCTCAGTTATGGGCTGAGTTGTTTGGTGCCAGAGAGCCGAGCAGAACACGCGCCCGTGTGGCAGTGTCCCGCAGGGCTGGGCCTGCGCGTGCCTCCTGTCCAGGGGAACCACATCTCCTGGGATGGAACTTGGCAGCCTTTTATTACAAATTAGAGCGTCCATGCTCCTGAGATGCTGCTTATTCAGACTCAGCCCGCCTCTTTTGAGTCTTTGTGGTTTTCTTCTAACTGTAAATGTACATTTTATATGGAAAAATAGTCATCAAAACACTAAGTCACTTCTCTTTCCTCTCCACTTCCAGACCTAGTTCTGGTTCACTTTTCTCTAGAAATGTTCTTTTAGCCTTTATGTACAAAACTGCAGGCAAGTGTGCAGCTGCAGGTGCACGCACACCGACTGAGCATGGGAGAGGGCGCCGCTGCCACCTCGCTCGGCCCCAGAGTTAGTGTCTGCACACGTCCTGGGTTGCCCGCTGCTCCGCTGTGCGGTGGCGGCCTTCTGGTTGGCCGGTCTTCCAGGGCGGCCTGCTGTTCTCAAACAGTCGCGACTGGTGTGGGCACCCTCGTCGCCTGTGTCTTAGTGCCCCGTCTGGTCACTTCCCGGTGAGTTCTTTAGGTGGCACTTCGGGGTGAGAGGCACGCCTCTGAAGCTTTGGGAAGTCTTGCCACGCTGCGTTCTCTGCGCGCGTACCCCGGCAGCGGGGCGCGTGTCCCTGTGGCTGGGCCTGGATTCTTCAGTGTTGTTTGCAGCCCTGTTGGCCCATCTTTGTTTGGGCACAAGATGCATCACCCCATGAAAGGCTGCGGGTGTAGGCTCTCCCTCAGGACCTTGTCTTTCTGGAGAACTTTTGAAAACTCACCTACATGCAGTATTAATTCGGAAATGCCAAGATTGAAAATGTCAACCGCTGTGGCTTTTAATAAAAACAAATGCAGCAGGCAGGTAGGTCCGGACAGTCACTTCCCGTGAGAGTCAGCCCCTGGGGCAGGAGCAGCAGGCCGGCCGGGCTGGTCACGCCCACTTCCCGTTGCTCGTGCCCCACCTGCCTTGACGCGGTCGGGCCCATGACGGCTCCTTTTGTGGAAAGTGTGTTCATGAAACACTAACCTGATATGTAGAGTCAGTGCTTTGAGACCACGTGAAGATTGTACCCAGACTCTACCCAGACCTGAGCCGAGAGCTTTTTGCAGACTTGTCCGTGACTGTGGCACACGTGTCTGTGCATCGAAAAAACTTGTGTTTTCAAACAGCGACACGCTGAAAATATTTTAGAGCGTTCTAAGGCGCTAAATAAAAACAAGTTCAAAATTTTACTGAGATGCGAGTCACATCACCATTTTAAAGTGTACAGTGCAGTGGAGTTTATCTTATTTAGCAGGTTGTGCAGCCATTACCACTCATTCCAGAGCGTTTCCACACTCCCAGAGGAAACCCCATTCTCCAGTGCAGTTACCTGCCCCGCAGCCGAGATTCACCGTCTCTGGGGCTGCCGGCTGCACGTGTTCGCGGGGCCCTGGCGTTGGGCACGTCTGTTACAGACGTGGAATAGGAAACTAACACCGAGCCCGCTGTTTGATGGGGTGATTCTTTCTAACATCACAGAAGACAGCGCGCGGCAGAAGCGGGGGAGAAACAGACCACAGGAAGGAAGCAGAGGGAGCCGGCAGCTGCGCCTCTGGGCCCGCCCGCTTTCTGGCTGGCGCTCTGAAGTGTGCTCTGGCGTGCAGCAGCTCCTCTGGGGTGGACACGGTGGCCTTTTACTGCATTCACTCCCGGTTCCGGGCTTTCCCGGAGACCCCTGTGGGCGTCTGTGCTCCCCCGGGTGGTCGGCGGCAGCGAGTTCTTCCTTCTGAGGCTGCTGCTGCCAGGCACCGTGGACGCGAAGCCTCCAGGAGGGTCCTTTGCCTTCTCAGCGGCAACTCGGCGCAGCCTGGTGCTGGAGGTGGCTTTGTGGGTGTCCTTGGCTCCCCTTATCGTAAACCTGCTCACGGGCAGCGCTTACCTAGCAGCGCAGGAAAAAGCGCAGCTGACTTGAGTCAAGATGGCCGGCCGCGGTGGGGCCCCCGGAGGCAGCCGAGGTGCAGGTGGTGAGGTCTTGTCCTCGGGGCCGCCTGTCGCCTGGCAGCGCCCTGTTCAGCTCACGTCGTCCTAAAGCACAAGTAGCTTTCGCCTCTCTTGGAGGCCCGGAGAGGCCGACCTGGGGCCGCTGTTTCCATGGACACGGGGGCTTTCGAGCAGCCTGGGACGGCGGGACCCATACCCGCGGGTGCTCTGAGCGTGGAGGCCGCCGCGAAGGCCCCTGCTCCCGAGAGCGGCTGCTCGACAGGCCACGGTAGAGCTGGTGTAGTCTCGGTGCACTCCCAGATGCTTCTAGAACTTTGGACCCGCATGTCGTGTGAGCCACTCGCCCTCGCCTTCTCGGCTCAGGTGGCGACCGCGGTGCTGCCAGCGGGACGGAGGCAACAGCAGACACGGGCGGGGAAGCGTGTGCTGGACGTGCCCTCGCTGGTGGGCGCTGCCGCGTCCCCCCCCCGCCCCGAATTCACTTGATGCTGAGGAGCGTTTTGCACGAGGTGGATAACTGAAGCCCGGGGAGGAAACGGGATTTGCCAAGCGGCAGAGCAAAGGTGGTGCGGACACTCGGCCGGGCCCGCGCGGCTGGCAGCCTGCAGGGGCCCGGCCCGAGCGTACAGCGGGCGGCGCTGCTCCGAGGACGAGCCTGGCGGGAGACTGACCCGCAGCAGCTGCGCGGCTCCGCGCCTCAGCTCCTGGGGGGCCTTGCGGGGCAGCTTGTTTGACCCGTCTTGAGGGAGTAAAACTTGAGGCGCGGGGAGGGGGGAGCTCGGGGAGCTCGTGAAGAGGAACAAAGGCGGAGCAGCGAGAGGCCGGTGGAGCCGCGAGGTAGCCCCAGAACCAGGGTGGGGGGTCCCGAGGGCAGGTCCGTGGGGGAGGACGGGCGGGGACTGGGCCGCTGCACATGGACCTCTGACCTCCGCCGAGAAGTGGCGGCCCAGGGAGCCGGGGCCGGAGGCCTGAGGGGGGGGAGAGCCTCGCACTCCCCGGCGTCCTGGCTGTGTCGCCCCCGGCCCTGCTGGCTGCTTCCCCGGGAGGCGGGGCCCAGGCCCAGCCCTGCTCGGAGGCGGCTGGTCACCAGTGGGGCTGCGGGTCCGGCCCGTCTCCCGGCCCCCGCGTGGGCTGCCGTCCCCCCGGGCTGGGCGAGCGTGTCCGCGGCTCACGAGCACCCCCGTCTCGCCCTCTAGATTCGTCCCCTACATCGGGATCGTGACGATCCTCATGAACGACTACCCCAAGTTTAAGGTAAGAGCCGCGCCCGCTCTGCGCCTCGGGGGCCGGGCGCGGGGGCTCCGGCCGCTCCCCTGACGGCTGACGCGGCCCTGTCTCCTAGTACGCCGTCCTCTTCCTGCTGGGCTTGTTCGTGCTGGTCCATCGCGAGTAGGAAGCCGCGCCCCGGGGGACGCCGTCCTGTCCTGGCCGCCGGAGCAGGTCTGGGGCTGCCGGCCTGGGGGGCGCCTCGGGCCCTGGTTCGCGGTGGTTTCTGGTTCCGCGGCTCGGCTCGGCCGTGCCCCGCGGGGACTTTCAATCACAGGGTCTCACAGGTCGTCGCTGTCACACGTTCACGTTTTTGTACATCCGTGAATTTTTTATATTAAAAGGCTGAGCCAAATCCCCCGGTGTTTGTATCTCGAAGCCAAGCCGCCCCGCTAAAGTGCCTCCGAGCCCTGGGCGCCCCGCGGCCTCCGGGGCTGGCAGCCGCCCTCCCCTGCCGGCGGGCGGGGCCCCCACTCGGGGGTCGGGGGTCTTCACTTTTCAAAGTTTTAAATGAATAAAAGACTTTGCATACTGAGCCCCTCGTCCCTGATGTGTGTGTGGCCGGGAGCGTCTGAAGTCCCCCCCCCCCCAACGCGCGCTCTGCCCGGGGTGCCTAGACGTCGGGGTGAGCAGCCCTTCGGCCCAGAAGGCTCCCGACATGCGCCGCCGGCGTCGGGGGCACCCGAGTCGCCTCGGCCATCCCGGCCCTTGGCCTCAGGGAGCTCTTGGCGTGGGGGTGTGGCTCGTGCTGGGGGGGGGGGCGCTGGGGAGCCCTCCCAGCCCTGCGGCGCCGGCCCGTCAGCTGCTGGAGGCGGCGCGGGGCCTCGGGAGGCCCAGGCCGCTGCCCGTGTGCTCGGCCCTGATTGCCCGGCGCTTCTCCGGGCGCTCGGGCAGGGCCCGCCGGTGGTTTCCTCTGCCGCGGCGGGAGGCGGGGGGCAGGCGGGGAACCAGCCGATGGATTCACGCGGAAAACGCCCGTCTGGCGAGGACGCGAGAGCCCGAAGCAAGCAAGCGGGCGGCTCGTGTGCGGGCTGCTCCGGGAGGGAGGGCGGCCCGGGCTGTCGTGCCCTGGGCCAGGCGCTGCCCAGAGCTGCCGCGCACACAGACAGCCGCCTTCACCCTCGGGCGGCGGCTCTTCCGACCTTGGGGGGCGGGTGAAGGCCGGGCTTCGGCACACAGCAGGCCGCCTGGCGGGCGCCTCGCCTGTGCCCACCACCTCATGCCGTGGGGGGCCTTAGCCCCTGGGGCTGGCAGCTCCTCCAGAGCAGGGCCCGCCAGAGCGACGCCGCGCCGCGTGCCGGGCCCCCCCAGCCGGCACCGCGTGTTCGGGAGGCGGCACCATGCGTGGGGCAGAGGCGCCCGCCGAGGTGGCTCCATGGAGAGCAGCCAGCGGGCGCAGGGCACAGCCGGGCCGTCGGGGGCGCAGACGTCCGGGCCTGACGACCGTCCCCGCGGCCTGGACTCCCTCCTCTGCCGGGCAGCGGCGCTGGCAGGCGTCGCGCTCCTCGGGGCTCGGCCTCTCAGGGCCCGGGCTGCCGTGAAGACGGTCGTCCCGAGCGTGTCCGGGTCACCCCGCGAGCGCCCCTCTGCCGGCACTGCGGGGGCTCGGGCACCCGACGCGCCTTCTCGGGACACGCGCCGCTGAGCCAGCGTGACCCTGCGGGCTCCAGCCGGCGGGAGGCTTCTGTGGCCGGGCGGGCCGTCGCCCTCGGGAGCCCACGGCCCGCGCCCGCACCCGCTGTGGTTCAAGCCACCGGGACGGCTGGACGGGCCCGCGCCGGCTGAGCGGAAAGAGATGGGGTCGTCGCGCTTTCCTAGGGCCTCCGCTCTCGGCGACGCCCCCGCTCCTGTGCCCCGCGCGGCTCTCCTGGTAGGACCTGCGCGTTGCTCGTGCCGGGCCCTGCTCCCCGCGCCGCCGGCCCGGGCCTTCTCAGCGCGCAGGCGCCGTGGCAGCGCCTCGGCCGGGCCGGCGGGGCCCGAGTGGGGTGGCAGGTGCCGGGGCGAGAGGCACAGAAGCTGGGAGGCGCGTGGTTGCTCTCCAACGAGTGCCGAGGGCTTCGCCGCTCCGCCCTGGGGTGCCGGGCTCCCCGAAGTCGTGGGACAGGCCACTCTGACCCCTCCTGCGCCCTGGCCCCTGGCAGGGCCCGGCAGGGCTGAGGCGGACCGCCTGCCTGGGCCAGACGGGCTCCGCAGGGCTCGTGGACAGCCTTGGGGAGGGGGATGCGCCCCGGGGGGGGCTCGTGCCTACAGGTCACTTCAAGGGAGTCTCTGTCTGCCAGGGGAGCCGGGTGGTGCTCATCTCTCTCGGGTCAAGTCAAGACGGGGCCGGCCACCTCCGAGCTGTTCGGAGCAGGCGCGGCGGTGCCCCGGGACCGAGGAGTCGCCGGGACCAGCCCGCCGCTGCCGCCGGCGGTCAGGGCGCCTGCAGAGACGGTTCCTCGAGCGTGAAGCAGCTCGGCCCGTCAGAGACCGCAGCACAGGCGCCCAGCCAGCCGCCTCGGAGGGCGGGACGCGCCCCAAGCCGGGAAGCACCCTCCATTCTGGGGCCGCAGGCTCTCGGCTCACCCGCGAGCCTCGCCCGCCAAGAAGCTTTTACCTTCTTTCCTCTCCAGCCTGCTGTGGAGGCGCCGTCGAGTGCGTCACGCACTCGCCTTCTCTCTGACGGCGACTTTCACGGGGTGTTGCTTGGGGCTGGTTCCAGGTGCTGGAAATGCCAGTGTCCTGAAGCGAGGCCTGTCCTCTGTTTACGTCAAGCAACTGACTCAGAAATGTCTGCGCGTCCTCCCTGTCTCCCCGCTGCTCCCTCAGCAGTGGGTTTCTTCCGTCTGCCTGTTCTGCTCCCCGCTCTGTCTCTGGGGAGTCCTCTCACCCCCCGCACCCCTGGCCTGCGCCCCAGCTCTCATATGCATAAATAAATCTTTAAAAAAAAAGAGAGAGAGAGAGAGAGAGGTCTGCGGGGCCGGCTGAGTGGGGACTGCCCGTGACCGCCTGCTGGGTTGTCCCTGAGTCCCAGGGCGGCCTGGGGGATGCCGGAGAATTCTAGGGAAGGGCAAGAGCAAGCACTGAAGAGCCTTCCCATCACCCCGGCGCTCCCATGTCAGGCTTTGGGGTCACCCGCCGGGAGGAGGCATTTGCACAACCCTTGCCTTCAGAGTGGAAGTGGGGGCCAGGCAGAGCTGCGCCCCCGCGGGAGGCAGAGGGGTGGCCTGGCCGGCGGCGGGCCGGCTGCTTCCTCTGCCTTCCCCGGTGCCCCGGGGTTGCCCTGGGCCCTGACTCTGGACGCTCGGTGCGCATGATCCCTCCAGAATCCAAGGCCCGGCCTGCAGAGGAGGGGTGACCCCCTTCAGCGCCCGCCCCACACCCCCGAGCGCTCCCCTCGGCCCAGGCGCGTCTGTCCCCTCACCCGTCACCCCACCCTCGCCAGGCGCCGCAGCCGGGCAGCGCGCCAGCCCACAGGTGCCCATCCCTGACGTCCCCTCCAGGGCGCGGGGGCCAGTGGCGCCGCAGCAGGGTAAGAAGCGGCGCCCTCCCTCTAAGCGTGACCCTTTGAAGGTCCAGGACGAAACGGCCCCTCGGAGGCGCGCAGAGGAGCGCAGCCCTCGGGAGAAGACCCGGGCGCGACACACTGGAGCGCGGGCTCGAGGCGACCTGACCTGCGCCCCGAGTGCGCCCGGCCCGAAGAAGCGGGAAGGGGGGGGGGGGCAAAGGGCGGCGGCCTCCAGGGGGCGCAATCCCGCGCCTGCCGCCCGGCCCGGGGCGCTGTCCAGGGCGCGCCCGTCCGGACTCCGGGGAGCCCCCCCCCCGCCGTTCCCGCGCCGCCCGCGGCAGAGACGCGCCGGCACGAGGTCGCGCGGCCCCAGCGGGAGAACTTGGGGCCCCGCCCGGCCCCGCCCCCGCCGCGCCCTGCGTCCCGGGGCGACCAGCCCCCCGGGGTTCCGCCCCCGCCCGGGGACCCCGCCCGCGGCGCCGGGCAGGGGGAGGGCGGCTCGGACCCCCGAGGACGCCGGGAGCCGGGCCGGGGACTCGACGACCCGCCGCCCGCGCTGCTCCCCGGCTCCGACGGACGGGCCCGCGCGGCGCTTCCGACCTGGGCAGCGGCCCCCGGGCCCGCGGCGCACCCCGGGGCGGGCGGCTGCGGACCCCGCGAGCCCCGGGCCGTCCCGCTCCCACCCCGCGCCGGCCGCCGAGGACGCGGCGGGCGCCCAGCCGACCCCGGAGCACAGGCCGCGCCTGGCGGGCGCGGGGGGTCCTCGCCCCGCAAGCCGAGCGCCGGCCACTGGGGCAGCCGCCCCTTCCGGAGGCTCCCCGCCCCTCCCCGCGGGGCCCCCGGCTGAGCCCGGGAAGCGCCCCGACTGCTGAGGCCCCCCCCCCCGCTGGGTGCCGGCCGCGCCCACAGACCACAAGGCGAAGCCGCTTTCCAAAGTTTATTGGGGGGCGGGAGGGCGCGTCACACGGCGCCCCGCGGCGTCTTGAAGTTCATGCCCACCGTGGGCTGCGTGACCTGCAGGTTGGACAGGCTGCCGAAGTCCTGCGGGCAGAGGGCGGTGTGGGCGCGCCGGCGGGGCCCCTCGGCCCAGAGCGCGGGGCGCGCCCCTCCCCCTCCCCCTCCCCCCCGCGACCCCGGGCCGCCCATCACAGCCTGGTCCGCGCGGGGTTACCCACGGCCAATTTGGGGCGACTGACGGGAGGCCCCCGGCGCGCAGCAGCCCCGATGGGGGGCCCAGCCCCACCCGGCGCCCGCCTCGGGGTTCGGACAGCCGCCCCGGCCCCGCGGCCTCCTACCAGGAGCTTCAGCATCTCCTTGGTGTCGGGGTCCACCTCGATGATCTCCTGGTCCAGGGCCGAGACCTGCGCGACAGGCGCGGCCCCGTCACCGCGCGGCCCCCGCCCGCCGCCCGCCGCGGGGAGCCCGGGCCGGGGAGTGGGGGGCGGGCGGGGGGCGGCCGCGCTCACCTCGGGCACGTAGTTGTCCCGCCGCTCGCGCTCCTCCTCCTGCAGCTTGATGGAGATGCCGCGCACCGGGCCCCTCTGGATCCGCTTCATGAGGTGCGTGACATACCTGGGGCGGCGCCCGTCAGCGCCCCGGCCCGCGCCCCACCCCGGCCCCCGGCCCCCGGCCCCCGGCCCGCGCCCTCACCCGGCGATCTTGTTGCGGAGCTTCTTGCTGGGGATGATGGCGATCTCCTCGCACACGCGCTTGTTGGTGTGGAAGTCGTTGCCCAGGCGCGTGTAGTACTTCTCGATGATGACGCGCGCCGCCTTCTTCACGGTCTTGGTGCGAACGCGGCCCTGCGGGGCACACGGGTCAGCGCGGGCCGGGCCCCCGGGCGCGGCGCGGGGCACGCCCGGCGGGGCGCGGGGCGCGCGGGCTCACGCGGAGGCGCCGGCCCGTCGGGGCGCGCCGCCCGGGGGCGCGGGGGCGGCGGGCGGCGGCGGATGGAGGGCGATGGCGGGGGCCGCGGCCCGCCCGCGGCACCTACCATGGCGGCGGGTCCCGGGAAAGAGGCAGCAGGAAGCCCGGGGCCGCCGAGGCGCGGGCCAGAGCGCCGCTTCCGCCCGCGCCGCCCCCGGCGCCCGCCGCGCCCACAGCGCCCCCTGCCGGCGCGGCGCGGACGCGCGGCCCTGGGCCGGGCCGGGCCCGGGAGCCGGAGCCGAGCGCCCCTGCCCCGGAGACGCGGGGCCACCGCGCGCGCGGCGCCCCTCGGCCGGCCGGGTTTCTGCGCGACGCCCCTGGCCCGACGGGCTCCCCTCCGGCTCGGGGAAGCCGGGCCCAGGCCCTCGCCCCGGAGCCCCCGGCCCTCGCCGGGCCCCGAGGCTCGGCCCCGGCCCCCGCCCCCCTGCCCCCCGCGACGCGGCCAGCCGCGGGCTCACGCGGCCGGGTCAGGCGGCCGGACAGGGCCACGGGCTGGGCCCCGCCGCGCGCGCACGCCCGGGCGCCTCGGGAGGGCGGGCTCCGTGGAGAGGAGGAGACCCAAACGGGGCCAGACGCCCCCCACGCGGACGGGCTTCCTCAGCACGGTCACAGCCCGCGGCGGGAGCGCCCCTGGGGGAGGGCGGGAGGAGGGCGGGGGAGCCCCCCCCAGGCCTTGCTCTCTCAGGAGGGGCCGCCCTGGGCTCACCCCGGGGCCTGCGGACCGGCCCCTGCAGGGCAGCGTGGAGGAGCAGCTGCAACGGGAAGCCCGAGCAGCCCGGCCGGCCGGGGGACCCCACGCTGGTCTCAGCTGCCTCCGGAGCTCGGGGTGAGGCCGCCCGGGCACCTGGACTAGGCGGGGGTCCTCAGCCCCGCAGGGACGGCTCCAAAGTGGGTCTCACCCTGAAAGCGACAAGCGCGCCGGGCGCCTCCGTGGGCCCCCCTTTGGCCTGGGCCGGGCACCCCACAGGGCGTCCCGGACACAGCGCTCGCTCCCGCCCCTGTGCCCCAGGGGCCCGGCTCCCCCACACCAGACACGCAGACCCGAGCTCTGCTGCAACGTGTTTATTATGTGCCAAGAAAACTACACGGCAGCGCCCCGCACCTGCGGGCGGCCGGCATGTACTACAGTGAGGTAGAGACTTCACACGGCTTCACGAAACCCACGAGTAGCTGGGGTAGGCAACGACGACGCAAGGTCAGCTCAGCAGGGGGAGGGCATGACACTGGTTCTTTGGCACACAGCTTCCCAAAGAGGGGCGAGTCCATTTTGTTTAAAAAAAACAACGAAAGAAAAAGAAAGAGTCAAGTTTTCAAATTCCAGTAGCATTTCCGCCGACCGTACCTGGTGCTCACACAGTTCTCGAAGGAAAGGAATACGGGAGGGTCCTGTCCCCCCAGAGAAAGGGCTCCTGCGAGCCGCCCCCGCCCCCACCCGAAAGCAGCCCTTGTTAGCTGTTACAAAAGAAAAAGTCCTGTGACTTTGTGATTAAAAACGTCTACCAAGCCCACCCCCCGCAAGTGCAACTGAAGAAGGTGCAGGAAACCATTTAAAACTATGTACAGCAGCTGCGCAAACCTATCCGGTCCAGGTTCAAATCCAAAAAAAAGGTGTCTTCTTGGTTGCAAACGCCTCCTTTGCAACTGTGAGACAGCGGCCAGCAGCCCCAGACACAAAGTTGCTGTAATGTTAAAAGCTGCCAGGAAAGAAAAAAAATCTCTTGTTCCAAACTACTTAAAAACTGTTTTAAGGAGTGTAAAAAGGAACCGGTAAAAACCCTCGAGCGTAAAATATGAAATATGATTTTGGTTTAAATGAAGAGCAAAGTCTCCTTGTTGTGTACAGTAAAAAACACCAGCTGAACACTCAGTTTATGCCGTTCAGGTGGGGCCAAATCAATGAAAGGCACTGTATGGCAACTGCGGAACGAAACCTGCGAGGCCTGCGCGTCTTCACCACCAGTAGTGCAAGGAATGTAAAAAAGCGCTTCTAATAAATAAACCTAGAGGCAGGCGTCTGTGCCAGCACTTTCTGGACACGTAGTTCTTTTTTGCTTTTCATCGGCAAAATGAGGAACTAAAATCTGGGAAAACTACAGAGTTGCTTGGAGGGTGAGCCAGGGGTCCGTGACCTGCTCACCCCGACAACAAAACCCGACAAAACTCATTGTGCATTAATCAGTGCAGAAACAAAGACAGGTTCAGCGGGTGCAAACGTGACGGCGATGTCCCTTGTCCTCGGGAAGCCAGCTCCCTGGTGGCCGGTGGCAGGTGGTGCGGGCCACCCTGGACCGGCCAGCCTGGGGCACCTGCCCTCGGGCAGGGCCAGCCCCTCTAGCTGGAGTCTCGGTTCTTCTGGTTCCGCATCAGGGGGCTGTGATGGCGCAGGCCCTCCATGCTGTGCCGCCAGTGCCAGCAGCTCCGGCAGAAGTACTTAAAACACACCTGGGGCAGGGGGAAGAGGGGTGAGGGGGGGGAAAAGAGGTGTCAGCAGCGTCAGAGGGAGCAGGGACTCCTGGTCGCCTGTGCGTGGCCTTGGGACTGATCCCGGAAGAGGCTTGACCAGCAGAGGAGCCGCTGTCTCTCGGGATGCCCCCATGTAACCACCCGGGGCGGGCTCCTGCCTGTGGCGCAGACGCCACACGTCCCTCCAGCTGCACCTCCACGCAACTCTCCCGCACTCCCCCAACCCCCCCCCGCACCCCCAGCGCCGGCCATGCCATGACACAGGGAGGCCAAACACCTAGGCCCTGGCCCTCTGAGTGCAGCCTGTTTCTGACAACTATGGTCCTAAGCAGAGATAAAGGAGGGGTCCCTGAGCAAAGGCCACCCAGAAAGCCTTGGGGTTACAGCAACAGCGCCTACTCTCAGGTACAGCCACCCACACCCACCAGGTTCCCATCAACCTCGGTCACTGCCACCACAGTGCCGTGTGCGCACATTGACTTCCGGGTGAAGCCCTGGCCCACAGCCCAGTGAGCTTCCCGAAGGCTCTGGGCAAGGAAGCACATCCCCCTGGGACTCTGGCAGACATTACTGCTGCCCTCCAGCCCTGCTCACGGACAACCACGAGGCACCTGAGAACCTTCTATGTCACAGACATAGACATAGACATAGACAGGGCCATTTTTAACTGAAGGTGCGGCTGCCCGGACATGTCGTGCCCGTGGGACTCACCTGATCGCGACAGAAGAAGGGGCCAGGCTGAGAGCTGCAGATGTGACACAGAGAATCCTCTAGATAGGGGTCAATCTGGACCTGCAGGAGCAGACCGGGGGGGGGTGAGGCAGCTCTTCTACCCTCAAGGCACAGAACTGGGGCACGCAGCGGGGAAGACAAAGAACCAGGGGCCTGGGGACCTGCAGGGCCTGGCTGGAGGCCTCGGTGACATGGGCGGCCCGGGCTCCAGCATGTGCAGAAGGAAAGGCAGGCAGAGGCCACCACACTCCTGCCCCGCCCAGGCCCGCTGTCCAACCCCAACCCCCAGGAGGCCTGGCCATGCCACACCCAGACCCAGATGGGCCCACTCACCTTCTTGGTGAACTTGGTGGTTTTGATCTCCACAAAGGCCGCGCTGACTGCTTTCAAGTAACTGCGCTGGTTATTGAAGGTCACGCGGCCAGAGCCTAGGATGAGAGTCACATCTTACTGTGTTGTCAAGCTCCTAAACGGCACCTGTCAACACCATTTCTAGACCAGTGATGGCTGGTGAAAATACGCTGTGAGCTGCCTCTGTCACCTGGAAGTTTCTAGTGCTACACTACAGCAAGGAGAAACAGGGTGAACTTGATCCTGTATCTTACCCAGCCTCTCAGCATGGCATGGCCAGACGCTCGCCCTCCAGGACAGGGCAGGGCGTGCTGACAGGGAGGCAGAGAGGGACTCCTCCAGGGGCAGGTGCACAAATGAGGGAAGGACTCAGAGCAAACTCGAGGTGGACAGACCTCACTAAAGGCAGCCCAGGGTCAAGGCTTCCTGGGCGCAAGGACTCCTGAGATTGCCACGGACAGCTGGCAGAAGAACCTGGTCTCGCCAAACCCACCTCGGCCAGGTGGCCACGCAGCCCGAGTGCACGTCCTCCCTTCCCGTCCTGTGGGCAGCAGACGCCACGTGGGAGCGGCCATGCCGCGACCAGCGCGCTCAGGTGTTTCCTCCTCTGACCCACCACCCAGAGGATTCACCACGACTGGCGCCTGCCCTCCTTCCTGGGAGGCCAGGACTGACCAAGATCCTCGGTTAGGCCGACTGCCCTGGCAGAGACGTCCTGCGGTCTGACCTGGTCTCTGACCAGAGGCCTCAAGAAAGGGAACTAATGGGCAGAAGAGCTACAAAGACACTTCTCCACAGAGGAAATGCACATGGCCAACAGGCACGTGAGAAAATGTTCAACATCCCTCCTCATCAGGGAAATGCAGGCAAAACCGCACGAGGACACCACCGCAGACCCCCGAGAATGGCACACATTAAAAAAACAGGCAACAACAACGCTGGCGAGGATGTGGAGCAACAGGAAGCCTCCTACGTGGGTGGGAGTGCCAACTGGTCCAACCACTCTGGAAAGCCAAGTGGCGCTTCCTCAAATGACTAAAAATGGGGCTTCCACAGGACTCAGCCATTCCACTCCTAGGGACCGACCCGACGGACATACAAATTCATTCCAAAGGACACGCCCCGATGTTTACGGCAGCACTAGCTACACTAGGTGAGCTGTGGAAATAACCCAAATGCGCAAGGACAGATGGGCGGGTCAAGACGGTGTGGTCTACGCACACAGTGGAATGTTACAAGCGATCAACAAAGACAAAGTCATGCCGCTCGCAGCAACATGGATGGCGCTGGAAGGGACGATGCTCAGTGAGATAAGCCAGAAGGAAAAAGAAGAATCAGATGGTCTCACTTAGAGGGGGGTTGTGGGGAGCCAACTAAGGGATCAGCAAAGAAAGAACAAAGACGAAAGTAGCAGGCAGCTATACACCAGACTTTCTGCAGGGGAGCGGGAGGGAGAGGGACCAACACAGGGGCGGGAGGAGCTCGAGGGGCTCCAGTGATGGTGCAGGGGGGTGAAGTGGTGTTGGGAACTTCTCGGGGAGACACCTCAGAGGAAGCAGCACACCCCACAGAAATGCAGGGTGATGGAGACATACATACACAAGCAATACCCGGGACAGACCAGCCCAGGCCCCTCCGCCGTGCAGCCTGAGCGCCCCGCTGACATTCCCGCCTCCTTCCTGCTGTGCACAGCACGCTGCTCCCCGTTGTGGCAGGGAGGAGGTGGATCAAGGGCTGGTGGCTCATGTGGAAGGAAGTGCCAGGCGTGGCCACACGCTGACCTGGGCCAGGCCGCCCTCCCCACTCTCAGGGGAAGCCTGGCACACTGGTCTGATTCCCGGGGGGGCCCACGCCGAGGGGCACACTTACCAATGGGGTATTTGTGCTTATCAGTGTCGATTCCAGCATACACCACCCCCCCAAAGAGGTCATTCAGGATGGCCGCCAGGGCCTCGGCGTTGAGCATCCCATGCAGCGCACCCACAAACACCGTCCTGCTGGGGTCCAGTCTCTGAGATGGGCTTCGGACGAAGTTGCTGTCAGCTAAGACCCAGGGGATCACCTGTACCTGGAAACCACCCAAAGGTGTTTGAGCCCGGCTGGCGGCTGGCGGGCCTGCATGCAGAACAGTGGGCACGCCTGGGGGTGGGTGGGTGGGGGGTGCCATGGGTCGCAGAGCACAGCGACGCGGCAGGGGGTGGCCGCGGAAACCAGTGCAAAGGCTGCCGGCACCAGGCCCAGAGCAGGCCAAGACCACGGAGGCTCCTCAATGCTGCCTGTGGGCAGCTGGGAAACCAGAGGACTCAGGCCTGAGGGGTCGAGGCCGTGATAATCTTTGGAGGCGGGCCGGCGGGTGGGCGTCCGGGGAAGTCAAGTTCAATGGAAGGAGAAAGGCCCATCCTCTGCTTTTCCTACTCCCATGGTGGTGGGGGTGTGTCACCATCCTGGTCCACATCTGGAGCCACTGAGCTTTCCTTGACACCAGCCAGAGGACCGGGCATTAGAGGAGACCCCAGAGGCAGACCCCACGGAGGGTGGGCGCAGTGGAGAGAGAGGTGTGGCCAGAGCAGAGCCAGGCCACGGGGTGGTGGGAGGAAGCGCCAGGGAGGTGCCAGGGAGGCGTCAGGGTTGCCTGCAGTGGAGGCCTCGGGAGCACGCCACCCTGAAGGCGAGGGGGGGACAGGAGACGGGCAGTGTCATGGAGGGGCATGGGGCCGCTGTGCAGCCTCATGCTGTGAGGGCAGCCCCTATCTCAGTCCTGGGACATGCGGGGGAAGCAGGGGTGCGACTGTGTGAGCCCTGCCCCCCACTACAAAGAGGGCCAGTGACTGCGGTCTCTGGGAGATGAATCAACCCTTTCACCGAGGTGCAAGGTGAACTAGCAGCGGGAGGCGGCGAGGGGACAGAAGGCCAGCCTGGCTGCATGGATAGTTTAAATCCACCGCCACCATCTCGATCAAACGGGCATCACCCCCCCTCCCCCGCCACCCGCATCACACAGACTCTACTTTCTAGGGCAGTTTTAGGTTCACATCCCACATGAACACCCCCGCTAGGAACCTACACCCCCGTCCCCACCCCGCGGAGGCCGCGGCTCTCGTCCGTGCGCACTCCTGGCGCTGGCCCCACGCCCCAGGGGTTCTGACGTAAGCATCGGGACGTGGATCTGGGGCACGGATCTGCCACCGCAGGGTCACACAGGGTAGCTCTACTGCCCTCAACGTCCTCTGTGCTGCCTGCTCAACCCTCCGTCCTCCATAAGCTGTGGACATGGGCCTTTTCCTTAAATAGGCATTTCGATTTCCTTCTATAGAGGAGGAAATGAAGTTTCAGAAACATTAAGCATCCAGTCCAATGTCAAAAAAGCGATCTGCTCTAGAACCAGACTTAAACCACCACTGATTCTGAGCTCAGAGCTTCCGTGGACAAGGTTTTCAAAAACCACTGACTGGAAAATGGACTTGGCGGAAGCGGGAAGCGTAAGGGCCGCCCAAACTGACTGGGGAAGTCTGAGACGGGGCCCAGGCACCTGGGATGAGGTTGCCAGAGGCCCGCTGTGCTAAGGACACACAGGCTGGTGCCAGGAAAGAAACCCAGGGGACTCTGACTGCCGCCTGGGGAAGGGGGCATGGGACAGGGGCTTGGGGAGTCGTCCCCCGCGGCCAGGGCCAGGAGGCAGGCGGGGAGAGACGGCGGCAGATGGGGGCATGTCGAGCAGAGAAAGCCGCTGCTTCCGGCTCCCCTCTGAGGCAAAGGGTGCAGGAAGAAGTGCGGACGCACTGTTAAGTCCGAAGGCGTTTTCTTTCTACTGGAGCTGAGAAGACCTTGAGGCGCTGCGGGAAGACTGCCCTGCGCACTGGCTCCCGCCAGCTCCAGGAGACCCCCCGCTGCCGCCCATCACCCCGTCCACGCGGAAAGCACCCACGCCACGCACCTCCTTGCAGCGCATCCTGCGGCTGGACATCTTGAAGTAGTACTCGCCCAGCCCGTCCGGGCTCAGGGGGTCGTGGGAGCATGCCTGCAGCAGGGCCCGCACGGACTTCTCGAGTTCAAAGACCAGGTACACATACCCTAGCCCCGTGAAAGAAGCAGCCCATCAGTAGGCCCCGGGGGCCCTCCTTGGCCTGAGTTTCGCAGCACGGGGGTTCTTTGAAGAGAGGTGGCCTCCTAAGATGCAACTCGGGCCTATTTCTGAACAGTCTCGTGGGCCAGCGCATTCGCCACCCCCAGCGGCCAGGCCGCGGGGAGGGCAACGCCCACGTCTCCCCGGCCCCGAGAAGGGCAGGTCCTGAAGGGAGGACGGAGGAGCCCATCGTGTCCACAGCTCCCTCTCCCGGGACTCAGCCATGCTCGGCCGGCAGAGCCGGGCCCTGGGGAAGGAGGGCGGGCGGGGCTGGGGCCAGGCCGCAGGGCACGGCGCTCCTGCTTTAAAGACCTACTTAAAGCACGGGCTGGGCCTATGGAGCACTTTCCATGGGGATGGGGCAGGGTGAAAATAGCTGCTGCTCCTTTCTATAGGGAAGGGATCTCATTTCTGAGCAGTGAGGCATCAGATGCTGGTCCTCGTTCCTGCCAGCTCCAGAGGGACTTCAGAATCAGGCCAGGCGGCAACACGCCCGGGCAGGAGGCAGGCCGAGGGAAGCTGTTCCGAGACCTCGTTTCGAGAGGAAAGGGGCCGTGGCCCGGGTGTGGAGGGAGGTGCGCGGGGAGGGCCGCACTGCCCCCGCAGCGTGGGTCCAGACGGATGGCGGTGAGTGCAGGGACGGGGGGTGCTGGGCTGGTGGAAGGTCCAGTGCCCTGGGTGCCCGAGCAGGTGACCGGCATGCAACCCTCAGTGCAACTATGTGCCAGGGAGGGAAAAAAAAGCTCCTACCATGTCATTATTACCTTTAGGCATATTACCTTTGGGAGGGCACCGGGGGTGCTTGCCATCCTTACCAGGCCACTCCACACTCAAAGAGCCAAACACACGGAAGGTGTTAACCAGGCCAGCTGTGGAGAGAGCGGAGGGAAGGCTGAAGCTGCGCACACCCTTCCCTCCCAGGAAGCTGCCGCCGCTCGCCGCCCAGCAGACAACAGGGACGGGGGCCCCGGGTGCAGATGACGGTGACAGCACCACGCGGACGCCACAGGCACCGAAACAGACCCTCCCCACCCATGCTCCAAGCTCTGGAAGGGGGAGGCGGAGGCACTCACCTTCCGTAATATCCCAAGGAACACCTCCGAGGAACACCTTGCAGGAGTAGACGGGGTTCTTGTAGCTCCGTGGGGGAAGCTGGCCACTCCAGGTGCAGGTGGCTTCATTCACCGCTTCGGTGGAAGACACAGGACTCAGGACCAACAGTCACGGTCCTCCTTGGGGGTGACTAGCCTGGCTGCCTGGAGACCCCCCACCCCCAGGACCAGTCTCCTAGGCAAGAAGTGGCAGCCGACCGATCCCGACATGTGAGCGACCCAACTCACAACTCCGCCCCGCCCCGAGCCAAGGGACAGCAAACTCCTCACGCCCCACACGGCTTACACACACAGAACTGACACATATACAGAGCAGTCTCTCAAGTTATTGTTTAAATTCTAATGAAGCTGGTAATTGCTGGAAAGGGAACAGCCATTTTGCACACGTCGGGCCTCCCCCGACCAAGCTCACCGGCAAGCACGAGCCTTCCCCTCCAGTGTGGGGCGCTCGGCTGTTTCCCGTGAACTCACCTCTGACAGAGGTCGGGATGCTGTCGACAGAAACCCCCACTAACTGTCCAACAAACAAGGTCACGATGGCGCCCCACGCCCCCAACTTCCCTGCGCTGCACTGCCCAGCTGCCCCGAGGTGAGCACGCGCCATCACTGTGCCCCCGCACCCACGGGGAGGCCTCTGGATGGGTGAGCTCCATGTCAGGGAACCCATCTGGCTGGGCAGAGCGGACGCCGCCTCCTGCTTGACCTGCCCTGACCATTTCTGCTGGCCTCTCTGCACGTGACGACCAGCTCCACTTTCTAGTCTGGCTGGTCCCACCTGCGCCTCTCTGGTCAGAGCCTGACCTCAGTGAGGGCAGGCAGGGCCCTGCCCACGGTCCTCCCCCCTTCAGCATGAGGGCCACCGCGCCAAGCCCTCCCTTCCACTCAGGTGACGGCAAGGCGGCCACCCTCAGCAATTTTGTGTGAACAAAAGCAAGTCAATGTAACGGCCTCATTCAAAGCCATGGTGATCCCATTTCGTGGGAAAACAAAGACACTCGGGTGCAAAAGCGGGGCTGCCAAGACCGTGAGCGCCAGAGCGGTGGTGCTGTCTGGGGAGAAGGAAAGGGCAGGCCGGGGCCCATGAGCAGGAAGAGGGAAGCCAGCGGAGACGCACCGACAGAACAGCCGCTGCTCAGGCCCCGCTCCAGCACCCTGGACAGTGGCGGGCCTGGCCCTCCCTGCAGCGACCCGCCGTACCTTAGCGAGGTCTTTGCTTTCTGGCAGGGCAAGAGGGTTTGCATGAACTTAAGACCACTTAAATGACAGAACCGCAAGGTTGCTTGGGGATGGCCCTTATTTAGAGACTGACACGCTGGGCATCCCTTCCAGGCTGCCTCCAGGAACAGCGATTTCCTGGGACAAGTGGAGACGGCGTGCCAGGTGTGCTCTCCCTTCCTCCCCACTCAGCGCAGAGAAGAGCGCCCACTGCCCCAGCAGGTGGCTCATCTGCCGCCAGACCGCCCTGCCTCACGGGCCTGCGGCCACTCACCTGCAGCCTGCCGGTGCAGCCGGGCCTCTCTCTCTATGCTGAAGGGGTCTTTGGGCGCTTCCAGGAGGTCCCAGGATGGCCACACTGATGCTCCTGGCCATCTCTTTGATGCACTGGTTGGGGAGGGAGTGACCGCAGCGAGAGCGGCTTGCTCTTGGTCCATCCGAGACCCAACCCCCATCTTTAAGGGGTCTCTGGGACCACCCCCAGTCAGAGATAGGAAAGGCAGAGGAGGGGAAATTCGAAGGCTTGACTAGGGGAGGAAAAAATGAAGATAGAGGTTTTTAAAGAGCAGTTTAGTTACAAAAGTAATACTCATAGTAACAACCAAACTACGAAAATACCTTTTAGCATTGGATACATTTTACTTTCTTCCTATGCTTTTTCAGGATTAGCTGTCTCTATAATTTAAACAAATTCTCTCCCCAATTCAACTTTTTTCACATCAGTCTTCATAACCATTTCTAATTAGATGCTCATCCTGTTTACCATGCTCTGTGAGGGAAAAAGCTATTTCACTGACCTGCCCCTACCATCAGACCTCAGGGTACTTTCCATAATTTCAGGGTTACAAAAAAAACTTCAGGGCACAGCTTCTTCGTATTTTACAATTTCTCTGTTCAGATCCCTAGAAGCAGGATGCCCAAACCTGCAGGAGATCTGCGTTCTACCAGAAACATACGAGAACATACGTTTCACCACAAGCGCATGTCAAGGTTTTAAATTCGACTAATTTAGAAATGGGTATAACTGAGAGCCAATTAGAAGAAGATTGGAATAATGACCCACAGCATGTCCCCTTAAGTCTGGGCTCTGCCTCTATGACCTCCTGTGAGCTGCCTGTCCCTGTTTCTTCACCAACCAGCCCTGGGGTAGGTGTCTGAGAAAGTTCTTCCACAAAATCCCAAACCACTGGGGCCTCCCTGGTGGCCTAGGGGTTAGTGTCAGTGCTACCGATGCGACAGCGTCAGTTCCGCCCTGGGCCAGGGAACTACCTACATGGCTCAGCAGCCCTCTCCTGTCTCCCTGCTGCTCCCCTCAGCAGTGGATTTCAGAAGATCTGCCTGTTCTGCTCCCCACTCTGTCTCTGGTGAATCTTCTTAACCCCTACACCTCTGGCCTGGGGAAGAACCCCAGTTCTTCCACTCAAAAATAAAGAAAATCGTTTTATTAAAAAATCCCAATTAAAGGGCCTCCCTGGTGGCGCAGCGGTTGAGCGCTGGGTTGTGAAGCTGCCCGCGGCCTCTGCGGCGCTGGTTCGATCCCCGGCTGCTCCCCGGCCACCGGAGGAGGGTCCCACATGGCGCGCAGACCTCTCCTGCGGCCCGCTGCTCCCCTCAGCAGTGTACTTCGGTCCTTCTGCCTGCTCTGCTCCCCGCTCTGGCTCTGGCGGGTCCTCGCGCCCTCCCGCGCTTCTGACTGTACCCAGTGCTTGTATAAATAAATAAATCTTAAAAAAAAAAAATCCCAATTAAAGCTGTTATAAATTTCCAAGGCCGAGCCCCAAAGTGACAACGGAACTGGAAGACCCTCACGGAGTGGTCTGATGGGAGAAGCCCCCAGCCCAAGGGCTAGAGGTCTTCCACAGTCACTTCTAGAAATAGCCTGAACTTTTAGTCAATGACCAGTGGGAACAGCTTTCATGTCCAAAGACACGCTAGGCCAGGCGGGCAGGAGATGGAGGTCCGCCTAGGTCCCATGACGAACGGGCAGTGGGTACACCACGCTGCCGCCGACATGCAGATGGCGGGAGGGCAGGACAAGGCCGCCCCTTCAGCAGAGAGAAGCCAGGCTTGGGGAACACCTGAAATCAGATCTGCTTTGGGGCGAGTTCTCACGGGTCATCCCCCCCGGCTCCCACGCTAGTCCTCTGCCTGCACAGGGCCACACGCCAGGCACTGCAGCTGAGGAGAGTGGGGCGCAGATGTGGACTCCAGGTTTCATTGATTCCACCTGACTTCCGACGGGGCTGGCGAGTGGGGGAAGCCCCGGCCCAGGGAGCTGCTAACACGAGTCCCACACCCACCACTGCAGCCTGTGGCATCTCACAGAGGTGCGGGGGCCGAGGAGACATGGTGGGAGGGGCAGGGCCTGCCAGGGCGCCCACTGTCACTTCAAGTGAACAGTTTCCCCACAGCCTGGATGCATCCTCGGGCCCACTGAGGACCGGCAGCTCTCCACAGCAGGCCATGCCCCTCCCTGCCCGAGCCTGCACCTGCTCACACACCCCAGCCCTCCCTGCCCCAGAAGTGACATACAATCAAGTCCGAGAGGTGGTCTGAGCCGGAGCTAAAGCCACTGGTGTCGGAGTCGGAGGGGCTGCTGGAGCGGGAGTCCAGGATGGGCCGGGGGTCCAGGCGGGCCGCTCTCGCTGATGGCGCTGGGAACTTGTCCAGGTCTGATCCCAGGGGGTCCAGAGGCAGGAAGCTCAATGGAGGTTTCCCCAGGACACTGCCCAAGGGGGTGTGGAGCATGCTCAGCACTAGAGGAGAAAAGGGCTCGCGTGACCACTCAGCCTACTCCCCAGTCCCTGCATAGCCACCCCACAAGACACCTGGGCACGCCTACAGAAAGCACGCTGGACCCACAGTCAGAGGACTGTGAATGTGGGACCCCAGCCCAGACGCCAGCCCATGGGCCCACCGGAGGAGCTCAGGGTAGCTTTCTGAAGACCGGAACCCCTGCAATTCCTGCCACCCAGGCACACCGGTCGGTGCCAGCACCCAGGAAGGGCGTGTCACCTGGACCCCGGTCAAAGCTGCCATCAGCATCTGACACCCCCACCCGCCCGGCATGTCCACAGGAAGCCTAGGCCACACCCCTCCTTACCATCTGCCGCTGTGTTTATCAGAGGAGTCCCCACCTTACTCACACTAGCTACCACACAGACTGTCCACTCCAGCCTGAAGTCTGGTGCCCCCGCACATGCAGCTCATCTGAGCCGCGCCCCCAGAGCCCCAACATACACACCCTGAACTTCAGACACTGAGGGTGAAGCAGAGGACGCTGACTAAGCCTGTGGTGGCGTGAGACAAACCGGGCAGAGTCCTCAGTCTGACACCCCCCTCCCAAATGCTGTGTGCTCTGGGGAGGCTCCCAGCACCCCCCCCCACCATGGTTCTTGGCTGGGAAACCAGCCTGAAACAGGGTGAGGAGAGCCCGCTCCCGACTGTAGATGGAGGCGCGCAGCAGGGCGGTGCCGGGCACCACACCTGGGGAGAGCACAGTGGGTAGGACAGATGCTGGAGACGGGTGGCGGGAGGGGCGGGCGTTTCTCCCTGGGTGAGGAAATCCGAATTCGTCCATGAAGACGAGGACAGAGGCTCTGTCATGGGTGGCAGCACCAGAAGCACTGCCAGGTGGAACCGAGGCGCATCCAAGTCTGCGGGTGGCCCGAGCCCACGGGCACCGTCACCAGAGCCGCTTACGCTCAGGCGCCATGGCCTCCCGTGGGCAGCAGTGGGCCCCCAAGGCCAGAGTCCATTCTCACCCCTCCAGCATGAGGGTGGAGCAAGCTGGCTGGAAGCAGGCACCGGGCACAGCACCCAGGGACACCAACCAAGCAGCAGCAGACACTGAGGGGCGCAGGGAAGGGGCCAGGCCAGGCAGCTCAGGGAACAGGGAGGACGGTGTTGAGGCCAATGGCAGACACGGGAGAAGCCCGCTGTGGAGGTGGACGGACACTGAGCACCGGTACCCAGGTGGAAGGGCACCTGGTGAGGCCGGAGACGCTCCCGGGGAACAGGGTGCAGAAAAGCTCCAGGCGGTCAACCCAAGTTGGTAGAAACGGCCTCTACCACGGCTGAAAATAGCGCGTTGGGAGTTAAAAGCAACACGCTGCAGACCACCCGCCCCATCTGTGCCGACCGTGTCAGATGCGGGTGGTGCAGCTGGTCTCCCCGCTGCAGCCCCACTCAGCCGACCTGCGCCTTCTCGCTCTGCCCAGAGGGTTCCCGTGGCCATCGCAGCCAGGTCTGGCTCTTCCTGAGTCTGACGACAGGCTGGTCTCCCCAGGCCCCCGGCAGGGCCAGCCCACACTGCCCACGGGTGAACTGCGCTTCTGGCCATGCTCACGGGCAGCTGCCGGTCAGGTACCTGCTGTGCTGCAGTCTGGACCAGATCCCACCGAGAGCAAGCCACCCCGCAGCTCACACACGGCCTGAGGTTCACCAAGGGCCTCCCGCCGTGGTGGCCGAGGGCCCAGCAGACCGGCTTTGCTGACGGACTAGGAAGGCCTGGGCTCCTCCCGACAGGAACACCGGCTCGCAGGCGGCAGCAGCCCGCTGTGGTAACGGGCGCTCGAGTGGTCACACGCGGCCTGGCCGAGAGCTCCCGCTCATTAAAGCTGCCTCAGAGGGCACAAGAGACCAAATCAGCAGTAATATTTTTAGACGATTGTTAACTTTCTCCACTTTCACCCTTCAGCGCCAGCTCCTGTGGGTTTTAGAGCTGAGTCACCGCCGGAATGTCCTGAAACCTTCCCCAGGCGCGCGAAGGCGCTCGGGGCCTGCCAGCAGCAGGGCCTGGCTCTGCGCTTCCACTGTGAGACGCCGTCCGAGCGGGTGCCCAGAGGGGCGGCCACGGCCACGGCCAGACCGGGACCCTCCTCCCTGCCCCGGCCAGGGCTGCTCAAGATCTCTTGGAAGGCACAGAGGTAGGAAGGGGCGCGGCCAGGGGAGCACACGGCCAGGCGTGAACACCCCAGCCCTGCAGCCCCACGCCTCTCCCCAAGGTCGCGGCGATTCCTGAGACTGATCGCTACCCACCGGGGCCCACGGCCACACCGTGAACCCCAGCCTTTCCCTGCCTCTCATCGCTGCGCCAAGCCCCACACCTGAAGAGAAGACACACCCTTGCCCCACCCAGGGCTGCTCCTGCGTGGCCCTGGCACTCTCACCTGCACTTCCGCCACAGCCGAAAGGACCTGCCGTCCCAGAAGCCCCTCTACTCCGCACGGACGCTACTCCCAACAGACCTCACCCCTGACAGAACACCGGAGAGACGTCGGCCAAGCTCCCCACAAAGCCTGGAGAAGGGGCCGTCCATTGCTGACTGGCACCAGCGAGAGGCCAGGAGAGGCCTTGTCTGAACCCTGCAATTCAGAACCCAGGTCCGCGCAGGCTGCGGCTCCTGGCAGTCCGCAAGCACTTGTGACCCAGCCCTGAGCCGGGCGCTGTGCCAAGTGCCAGGGCCCGCAGCTGACGCTGGGGTGCAGGGGAGCCGGGGGGTGCAGGGCATCCCTGGTCCTCAGAGGAGCCCAGCCCTACTTGGAGCATTGCCTCAGAAAGGGTGGTAGAAGCCCAGGGCGCCCCCCAACTGGCTAGCAGGGAGGGTAGACCCCAGGGACGGGACAGGGACCTCCAAGGGCGAGGGGGCCCTGCCCCGTGGGCTTCTGCACTGGTGCGGTGACCGGCCCTTCTCAGGTGCCCCAGTGGGGGTTCAGTGCCCCCGCTTCCTGCTGAGTCATGCTGGGTGGAGAGTGGGGGAGGCAGGCACAGACCCGGGGCGCACGGCCACTGAGCTGCGACGGAGGACGGAGAGGGCGAACCCGCTCGGGACGGGCCCGAGCAAGGGCCACCCGGTGTGTGCCGAGTGGGCAGCCTGCAAGGTCTGCAGTGACCCCCTGACTCGGCGGACTCGCGCGGCACTCTGGGTGCTGCTCCCGAGAACACAGGTATGGCGACAGCAAAAGGCCGAGAACCCGAGGAGCCCAGGCTGGAATGCCGGGTATGCTGGCGAGGGCGCCACTTCTCCGCAACAGGAGCCACACAGGGCCCCCCTCCTAGGGACCTGGAGGCACTCAGAGAGGTCACTGTGGACACGGTGAGAGTCAGTCACCCCACCGCGAGGCCTGAGGGCAGGCTCCATCACAGGGCTGACGACACAGCCAGCAGGACCAAGGTGGCCCGAAGCGTGCCACTGGGGTGCAGCTCACGTGCCCTGAAGGTGTCCTTCCCAGGGACAGCGAAGGCCTCAGTGGAGCAGAGTCCAGGATGTGGGAAGGGCGCCCCACAAAGTGCCAAACCAACATGGGCCTTGCAGGCACAACTCTCAAAACCAGGCCCCCTCCCCCCTCCCGGGTCTTCCAGCCGACCCAGGCTGATGAAATTCACACGGAAGGACCCCAGCCCAGGCAGAAGGGCTCCCGCGCCAGTGTCACACTGAGAACCCCAGGAAAAATGGTCCCACACAAGAAACCCTGCTGTAGGCAAGAGGAAGCCCCATCACAGTCACTGCTGCTGGGACCACTCCTGAGGAGCCGCCTCACCGGCTTCCCGAGACGCCGGGGTGATGGCTACAGCAGCACCCTCGCCCACTGCTGTGCCGGGCACGGCACCGGGGCACCGGCCCACAGCCACAGCATGAACTTGGCAGCGTCCTGCCGCCTCCCCCACTGTCCCCACTGCCACACTTTAAGAGGAGGCGGTGTCTCGACTCGAAGCCAGGACAGTCTGGGCGATACGTCACCGCCCAAAGGGTACACCCCGAGCTCCACGCAGACAGCAGTGCACCAGGTCACCCGCAGAGAAGCCCAGACGGACTGCCCCACCCCCAGGCGGCGGAGCTAGCCAGTCTTCAGATGGGAAGGCAGTGTAGGCGCTGGCACGTGGGTGCGTGTTCCCGCAGTGCTGGCGAGGGTGCCCAATCTGGCACTGCAGCTGGCTGGTGGGAGGGCTGCCTCCTACACCGGGAGGCGGTACCCCCGCGTGGGCTTTGCAAGGAGGCCCGGAGCACCGTGAAGCAGCGAGATGGCCACGACTGCAGCTCCAAAACCCAAGGACAACACAGGTCAGGGAGGCAGACACACCTACGCCGCACCGCGCAGGGCCAGGCCCGACCTCAGCACAGCTTCCTGCCCCTGGAACACGAGGGCCACAGATCGCGGCCCTCCCTGACACACACGAGCACAGTGTTTATCACCAGAGGGCTCAGGCGGAAGGTGGGGTAGTAAATCCACCCCTTAAGAGACAAACAGCCTCCAGCACAGGCCCTGCAGGGGGTGCCGGGCAGCGTGGCTGATCAGGGCCGTCCACAGTCCAATTTCACAGACACGTCCAGCCGCCCTCTCTGAGCCCCAGCCGGGCTCCGCAGGCCAATGGAGGCCCCACTGCTGCACGTCTCAGCAGGACCCTTGCAGCTTAAATAAGCCAGAGCCAGAGTGGGCCCCACCCCAGCCCAATGCCAGTGAAAGCAAGAGCCCAGCACAGGTGCCCTCCTGCATGGGCCTGGGTGCCGCGCCGGGACAGCGGGAGTGAGGACAAGGTCAGCGTCAAAGCCCCCACACGGGAAACTGCCGCGGCCCAGAAGTCCAGACCTCCCAGCACCGGCGCTGGAGCAGCACCAGGCTCCCTGCCCGGGCGGGCCGTCGCCAGCCTTTCAGGAAAACCCGGAGTCCTGGGAAGGCCGGAATCTGAGGCAACCCCGCTCGACCCGGAGCGCTTGCCATCTCTTCTCCCCCGCAACCACATAAACAACCCCTCCCCCCCGTCAAGCGGGATCTCACTGACACAACTGGGCATCGCAGTGCCGGCAGGCAGCAGCCCGGGCTCCGCACCCTGGAAGGAGACCTGCGCCAAGCAGGGCGGAGGCCGGGGAAAGCATCAGGACAGCACCTTTCTGCCACGTCAGTGGGGGGGGGGGACGCGGCGGCTCTGTGGGCCACGGGCACCACACCACATCACCACCCCCAACCCACTTTCATCTTCTTACAGGATCTGCTGCTGCCGCCTTTTTTCAGGTACGATTTGTACCAAGCAAAAGAGAGATTTTACGGATGCCCAGCGCGCTCCTCAGCTCACATTCCCCCCGCAGCCTGAGGCTCCGTCTGGGCAGCCTCCCCCTCATGCCACTCGAGGGGACAGACGGTGGTGGGAGGGTCCGCGCAGCAGCAGGTCCAGGCGGCCAGGAAGCCCCTTCGGCTAGTCCCCATGGAGCCTCCCAGACGGCCAGGGACCTGAAAGGGGAGTGGCTTTTCTTTTATCCACTTGGTCACCTTCACACAAAGAGGAGGAAAGAGGCTCCAGGCTGATGGCTGACCCCCGGCCCCTGCCCTCCGCGGCCCCTCAGGGTGCTCCTGACCTCTTGGCTAGTCAGCCCCGGGACTCCAGGGTCACCCAGCCTCCCTGGAGGCCAACGTCCTCCCCTTGCCAGGATCCGGGGCCCACTCCCTGGCGTGGGGTACTCACGAGTTTTAAAAGCCACTGGGAGTAGGATGTGGACAGCAGCTCGCCAGTCCCTCACGGCCCCTCCCCCACCTAAAAGTGTTTTGCTTCATCATCTCCAAGACAGGCCTGGGCGCCAGGGTGAGCCGGGTCCTGCCTGCACAAGGCCATCACCTTGGGACCTGCCGGGGCGGCCCGGGTGCAGCCTGGCAACTCCGGGGACCGGCCGGGAGCAGGCGCCGTGCCTGTCTTCCCCAGCAGCCCTCTGTCCTGCCCGCCCAGCCAGCGTTGCCATCTCTTGCAAAACAGCTCCATGTTGGGGGGGGGATGCAAAGGGAAGAAGGAACAACTGTTGCTAGGGTAGCTCTGCGCCCCCCGTGGCCCCCACCCCAGTCTCAGTTTCCGGCACTCACCTGAGGGTGTGCTGCTCGGGGCCGGGGAGTCGGCGTCCTGGGTGCTCCAGGGTCGGTCCCAGCCTGTGAGGCTGAGCGATTGCAGGCCAAGGCACAAGTCGTTTGCATCTGGGAGGCCACGGGAGGATTCTTGCGCAGAGGTGGGGAAGAGCATCCTGCTTGTGACTGTTTCTTCAGAGTCCTGGAAGTCTGCTTCGGAGAGGACAGCGGAAACCCCGGAGTTAAGGGCTATTTCCCCCAGTGTTATCCGCAATAAATACGGTCAGCAGCAGCCTCCCCGGCTCAGGGAGCAGACACCCGCGCTGTCTGGACGCTGCGGGCGCTGCCATGCAGCCCCCTCCTCACACACACCCCTATCCCGTCTGCAGTACAGACGGGCCAGCATGTGACCAGGCTGCTGCTGCTTCCTGCTGCCAGTGACATCAGCCGCCAGCGAGCAGAGCGAGCGGCATCACCCTCCCGGCGCGGGGAGGAGCAGAGGGCCGGCGGGGAGGAGACTTGCCACTTGGAACAGTCCGGGAGCAGCAGCGCCCGTGAGCCAGATCGCGAGGCAGTGCCCTGGTCTCTAGCAACGGTGGCCACGCAGCCGTCCGGCGTGACTGAAGTCCTCTGCCCACAGCCCAGCTGAGGCGGCCGCTGCTGCTCCGCGGCTCTGCCCTCCAGCCCCTCCCCCCCCGCCGCTCTCCACCCCCAAACCCAAAAACACTCTAGCGCTGGACTCTCTCCAGCTGCTTGCTCAAGCCAGTACAAAGCTGCATGCTCTCGCCAGCAGCAATGCTGCGCCGCGCATGGCCCGGGGTAGCACCCTGACACAGCAGGCCCCGAGAAACAGGCCAGCTTCAGAAGCTCTGCACACTGGGCCCTCCGGAGCAGCCGAGGTGCTTGGGCTCACCTGGAGCAGCTTAGGGCAGAGAAAAAGGGTCAGGCTTGGGCAGCCGGTGCCGCCCAGCTGCTCCAGGCCGGCATGGAGCCACTCCACAGAGGGTAACCCTGGGCCCAGCTTCCTCACCTGTGGACCTACATCAGGAGCACCCTCCTGCAACTAGCTGGGGCACAGGCAGAGATGGGGGGTATCTGGCCCCATCCGAGTTCTGGTCTCTGTGCCCTACCTGGAGCACGTCAACACACTGGCCAGCTAGGGGTCCTCAGCCAAGTCCAGCTTGGCCCAGAGCTCCAGGACCCCTGCTGGGCTCCTCCACCACACCCTCCAGCACAGACTCTCCAATATGGGCCCCAGGCACTGGGCTACTCCCTCAGAGAAGGCACAGCAGCGGCGGCACTCCGCTGCAGTGTGCTCCCAGGCTGCAGGAAGCCACCAGACAGCAGCAGGCCCGCCCGGAGCGCCCAGGCCAGCGTCTGCGTGGGGCACAGGCAATACAGCGCCGCCAGCCATAAAGGCCACGTCTGCCTGTGGCCAGGGGCCTCAGGCTGTGCCGGTGTCCGCGGGAGGGGCCCCTCTGGGGCTGCTGCGTCACGGCCGCCTCCTCCCCGCCCGCTGCCTGCTGTGCAAGGGCCGGGCCAGGACGGTCCCCCTGGTGGTGCCCTCGAGACCCTTCCTCCAGCTTCCCCACAACCGTCCTTCCCAAGTGAGGACATGTGTTACAAAGACATAAAGCTTCCTTTAAAAAAAACCCATATTAAGTGCCCACTCCCCCAAACCAGATGTCTGTGTGTCGCTACCCCAGTGCGAGGGTCTCTCAACCCTCTCTCGCTGTCTAAGACAGACACACCTGGGGTACAGTGGCCCCAGGTGGAGGACCTAACACCAACCAGGCTCTTGCCATGAAATGCAGCTCAGGGTGGGCAGCACACCCGGCAACCCTGGGCCTGCGCGGCCCTCATAGGATGCTCCGCCCATGAAGGTCGGAGCAGAACCGACCTTCTCACCCAGCAGCAGGGGCACAGACCTGAGCAGTGGCGGCACCCCCTCTGGAGGGGCCTGGAGGCCGAACGCCGGGCACCCTGCTTCAGGTCTCCCCCGGCCATGTCCCTGCCACCTGATGGCTGTCATCATGCTGCTGCAGGATCTAAGGCCAATGGCGGCCACGCATCGACCCTTCTGGGCGCTGACGGGTTTGCTTTGCCCCGGCCCTGCCGCTGCGAGTTGGGGACCGCGTTAGTCAGTGCCGTGACCACGTGGTTGTCACCCAGACGACGCTGCGCAGGGTCCCCTGCATGCTCAACCTTGGGCTTCTGGCAAGCCAAGAAGAGGCCAGAAAGGAATAGCGGCCCCGCGCGGGGAGCCATTAAAGCAGACTCCGCCACACGGAGGCAGAAGGGCCTGAAGACTCCCGCCGCACGCCCTGGGGGATGCGAGGTGGCCCATGGCACTGATGCACCTGTGCTGATCCTAGGAAGGAGGGGGGTCTAGCTTTGGGAAGGCGGTCAGCAGCCCGGAAGGCTAGACGATCAAACTGACGTGCAGTGGGTAAATCTTCAACACGAGGTGCTGAGTACAGAGTTCAAGGTGGAGCAGAGACCGGGGCCGGGAGGCCAGGCACAGGGAAGAGGGGCGCCGAGCAGGAAAGCGGTGCTCCCGCGGAGGGCTTGGCGCGGGGAACAGGGGCTGCAAGGAGCACAGCGGCACCTCCACTCTGACTGTAAACTACTGTGAAATTCTGCAGGTTGGTGGCGCCTGTTGGCGAAGGAACACAGAAGAGGAGCAGCCAATGTGTGCAGGGAGCAGGCATTCCTGGATTCATAATCCTTTGGTTTTCACGTAAACACTAACAAAACCAAATCTGTTTCCCTGTTTGTGTCTTCGGAATGGAAACAAACACACTAGGATAGTTTGTGCAACAGCCACCCTTGAGGTCTTTTACAAAATCCTGACTTCCTCCTCAGCTCCAGGCCCTGGAAGTGGCAGAGAGGGCGAGGAGACCTCTTGTGCCCACAGATGCCTTCAAGTGACTGACTTCACAGCCACCTGGCACGTCTATTTAAGTCAGTGACTACAGCTCTTAAAAGTTTTGACAAAGCCACACAGTAGCTGCCTAGGAATGTATTTCTAAAAGACTACTTGCCCCCCCAAACCAAGAAAACCGAAATGCGGGTTTTGAGACTCCCTCAGACACGCGCGCTTGAATCGACACCGTGTCTGTGCAAGGGCCGCACGCGCGGGGACACCCGCTCAGGGCAGCGCTCCTCCGACTGCAGTGGGCTGATGGCCCACTTGGGAACCTGTTTAAAGTGCTGATCCAGGATTTCCCTGGTGGCGCAGGGGTTAAGACACAACCTATGAAACTGTCCGTGGCCACTGCAGCACAAGTTCGATTCCCGGCCAGGGAGCTACCCACAGGACGCAGCAGACCTCTCCTGTCTCCCTGCTGCTCCTCTCAGCAGTGGATTTTGGTCAATCCACCTGTTCTGCTCCCCACTCTGTCTCTGGTGAATCCTCTCACTGCCCCCACACCTCTGGCCTGTACCCCAGCTCTTGTGTGCATGAATAAATCAATCTTTAAAAATAAAAATAAGGCCTTCCCGGTGGCGCAGCGGTTGAGCGCTGGGATGCGAAGCTGCCCGCGGCCTCTGCAGGGCTGGTTCGATCCCCGGCTGCTCCCCGGCCACCAGAGGAGGGTCCCACATGGCGCGCAGACCTCTCCTGCCGCCCGCTGCTCCCCTCAGCTGTGTACTTCGGTCCTTCTGCCTGCTCTGCTCCCCGCTCTGGCTCTGGTGAATTCTCTCACCCTCCCGTGCTTCTGACTGTACCCAGTGCTTGTATAAACCAAACAAGCAAACAAACAAACAAATAAATAAAACATGCCTCTATTAAAAAATAAAAAAATAAAATAAAAATAAAAATAAAGTGCTGGTCCAGAAACAGAATTTCCATTTCTAACAAACTCACAAGCCACTGGTCCTCAAAGTTTCAAGTGGTCTCTCTGCCCCAAGTCCACTGTTCCAGGTGATCCGTCGCGCGCGCTCATAGCTCCCCCTCCACGTGGCCGGCCCCTTCCTGTTGCCTCTCCAGTGAAAGCCAAGCTTCAGTCCATGGCTTGTTAACTTTCTCACGCTGCTCACCACACACCAAAGGCTAAGCTTGAGTTAATCCAACTCCCCGGAAACTCGGCCTCCGGGGACGGCTGTATAGGTCGCCTGGCGCCCACGGGGCGGCAGCGGCTCAGAGCGGCAGCACGAGGGCCCGGACACTCAAGCCAGGTGCCCGTCCTCTCGGCTCCGGGTTCAGCCCCACCGCAGAGTAGCATGTCCTCAATAGGAGAGCACCGCGGGTTTATGCTGTACCACCCACTGGAGAACAAAAACCAAAACAAATTCATGGGCTTCCTTTAGTCTTAACTGCTTTTAATAAACTTCAAATGAATTCTGTAAAAAATACTTCGGATTTTGTAAAATAGAAACCAATATACTAGGGGCCTCCCTGGTGGCGCAAGGGGTTAAGAGACAACCTATGAAGCTGTCCCCAGCCTCTGCAGCATGAGTTTGATCCCCAGCCGGCCAGGGAGCTACCCACAGGACGCAGCAGACCTCTCCTGACTCGCCCGCTGCTCCCCTCAGCAGTGTGTTTCGGTCCACTGCCTGTTCTGCTCCCCGCTCTGTCTCTGGTGAATCCTCTCACCCACCCCCACATCTCTGGCCTGTACCCCAGTTCCTGCATGCATAAATAAATAAATATTAAAAAAAAAAAAACCAACATACTCAGATTTTAAAATGTCACGTACTATGCTTATACCCTGGAAGAGCCAACACTGTTAAGAAGTTATTTCCAGCACACGGACCCATACAGGCCATGCAGCCGTAACAATCACTTGCCTTCAACGGAAGGGAAAGCCCCCCTGCCCCGCCCCTCGACAGAGGGAAAGACTGTAACATACGGTGCCAGAACTGCCAGCTACCCCGAAGTGGGAACTTGGGAGCCGTGAAGACCCTACCTCACACCATTCACAAATGTTCATTTAACACAGATCAGAGAGACCTAAAAGTGAGAGCTAAAGCTATAAAGCTTCTCTAAGAAAAGACTATCTCTGAGGCTTGGAGGGGGGTGTGTGTCCACAGAAAAGCAACGTTCTCTCATGGAGGACACAGAAAGCAAGACCTAGAGAAAATGGGGATAAACTGGACTCCTCACTTCTGCTCATCAGGACGCCGTCAGTAACCTGCATGTGTGTCACGTAACACCACTCTGGTCAACAGGGACGGCAGCCCCACTTGCCTATCGCTGGTGTTGCCACAGG